CATACGCAATTGTCATCCGTATGCAAGGAAGTAAGCGCAAGATTCCGAACACCCGTAGCAGGATGCAGCGCACCCTTCATGTGACTCACCGAATACCTCACGGCGCTTCGCGCTTGGTGATGTGAGAGCCTGGTCCGGTGAGAACCCGGCGTGCTCCGTCCCGGCTTTGTAGGGATGCGAGATCAATGGTCTAACGACTACGGCATGCACGACTATGAGTACACCCCGCCCTCCCCCCCCCATCACGTTAGACCCCAAGTGTAACTGTAAAAACAACTTTTGCAGTAGCTTATCCCCACATGTTCCCAACCAGAATGGAAAACCTGAGCGCGGGGGATGATGCCTGTTGCTCTGAAGCGTGCCACCTCATATGTGCTCGGCCGTGCGCATGGTACTGGCGTTGGTCTCTTCCTTGGCGCGTGGTATTTACAGCAAACGGTCTTCCGTTGGTCATGACGTCTGGATTATTGCTGCTGAATGTCCGTTCACCTGTTTGGCTCTTCGTCTCCCTTTCAATGCAACAAAACGTAGGTAACGGTTTCACGCACCGCCAACGCGTTGGAGTCGAACGGATACGTGTGGAGCGTTACCTTCGACACTCCGACCGTGGTAGGCGGCGTCACGAATGCAGGCGACCAGCCACCGTTCTACGCCAACGGTCGCATGCTCGGAAACATCACGACGGCCACGTCTTTCCGCCTTGAGGTGAGCGGGCCCATGCCATTCCGCAATTTTCTTTTTGCGCATTAGTGTAAGGTTTTTGCGGCGGGCGGGTTTCACTGGAAAAAATGCCCGAGGTACGGAGAACAACCCGCCAACAGCCGCCAAAGCTCTGCTGCTGCATGTTGCGAGGAAGTGGCAGACTCTGTCACACGTATGACTGAAGTACGAATGACGCCTTCACTTTCTAAAAAGCAATCCGGTTGGCATATCTCTCACTTGACCCTGTTGAAAGGCCTCACAGTCGATGTCGAGGAACGTGTGGTGTAAGCTTTGGAAAACCATGGCAGATATTCCTACCACTGATATTGTCATCTGCATGTATCAAGAAACTGCATGCAACGTGGTGAAGGTTTCGCACAGAGCTGGCGCGTGCCGCCACCTCCGGGTATCCAGTAGTGCTCGACCGAAGAAATGACCCGATGACATCCGCATGGGCACCTAACCCGTGATACTATCACCAGGTGGGCGAGCACATGGTGGGAATCGAGCCCTTGAACTACAAGGTATTCGAAGTGGACGCGATGGGCGTTCTGTCAGCAGACGAAGCTGGTGGTAGCACCAGCGGCACCTTGTCCTCAGCCTCTTCCAGCAACTTGAGCGAGTCATCGCTATCCAACAACGGCAGCGGCCAAGCTGCCTCCGCCACCTGGAGCAAACTTGTGTCCAACCTCGAGACCGGCAAGGATTTCTACATCCGAGTTTCCGCCCAAAGCGAAGGCGTCGGGTACGGGGACTCCGCCGAGGCCAGCAGCAACCCCGTCGCCCCCATGGGCGTCCCAGGCCAAATCGGAACGGTGGCGATCTCCCGCCTAGACGCGAGCACGGTGCAGCTTGAGGTCGAGCAGAACACGGAGGCCAACGGTGCGGCCGTCGAAGGCTACAGCGTGCAGTGGGACACGAACCCGCAGTTCACCGGCGCCCGGCAGATGGACCTTGCCTCGGACTACCGCATCCAGGCTGTGCGCCTGAACGCGTGGCAGCGAGGTTGGACCTCAACCTCGGCGTTTTCTCTGTCACTCTTCGACTTCGGAGGCGCGTTTACCGCACGGCTTGGTGTCGACGACGACGACGACGACCCTCCTACGTTCGTTTCCATCGCCGAGGGGACCAACGTTCTCAACCGCACGACTCCGAACGTCACGGCAGGATTCGGCGGGGCCCCGTTATACAAGCAGGTGCCCCGGGGAGGGTTCGTCAAGGTAGGCGGGCAGGAGTTCCGCGTGTGCCTCGACGGAGCCACGCCGTACGATGCGGATACCCTGACGCTGTGCTCCACAAGCGACCCGTACGCCCCCGAGACCTTCCTCGGCGCGGCCACCAAGTACGACAACACGCTAACCCAGGTGCCCGCCTACGCGCTGGACACGGCGATAGGCTCCGCCTTCAGGCTGGCCGTTGGCGACACCGCGCTGCGGACGTACGACGGGCCCGACACCAACATCAGCGTGAACGACCTGACTTCGACCCTGGCTCGCGGAGACCACCTGCGACTGGGCCACCCCGAGACCGGTCGTGTCTTCACGGTCTGCAAGGGGGACGGCACCAGCTCCGACGTTGACTTCAACGCCACGTCTCTTCCCCTGTGCGACGCCGACGACCCTGGAGAGCGAGTGTCGGTGATGGAGGGAGACATCGTGTCCGCTACGTACGAGATCCAGAGGTTCGGCCTCTGGCTGAACACCAGCTCGGCAGACTCAGCCGCTTTGAACGCAACCGAAGTATTGGGCTACAGGGTCGTGTTCGGGGATGAGACCTCGGCAAAGTCGCAGGCGGGGGGTCAAGCCGGCTGCCTCTCCTTCTACTCGTCGGCTGCTGAGGTGACAGATTGTATTTTTTCCCGCTGATGTTGGAAGCGTGTTGCTTGTAGTAGTGATGTTCTCAAGGAGCGATATGGCAAAAATCGGACATTACAAAGGGGTGTAACGGTCGCACAGTAAAACTGGGCTCAGGGCCGAAACACCCCCGTCGCCAACAAAGTAATGTTCAAGAAGTAGTGTTTATTTTTCTTTTGATAACCAGCGCAGCAGGGTGTTATGTCACATGTGAAGATATACCTCACACACTGGATTGTTGTTGTTTCTTTTCGTGACAATGATTTCCGAACTGCGCGTCTTCCGTGCGCATGTCCGGTACGTTGATTTTGCTGACTACTACACGCAACAACGCGAAATGGTCTGCGCAAGGCAAGTCTGCCTCTCTCGATGTGAAGCAAACACATAATACACTACAAACAACTGCCCTACGCAGGTCGAAGCAGAGATCGAGGCATTCGGTGGAGTGGATAACGTCCACGTGGAGCGTTCCCCAAACTACACGCTCGAGGACTACAACCTCCACCAGTACACGGTGACCTTCCTCGGACCGGCGGTGGCTGGCAACGTGCCCCAGCTCCGTGTCGTAGATTTGGGCGAAAACGGGTGCGGTGCAATCACCAACACCACGGCTGGTCAAGAGGTCGAAGAGACCTTGGTGGAGTCTTTTGTTCCTCTGTACAAGGTGCAGAACACGGCTGACCTCGCGTACGATGCTACCGCGGCGGACGTCAAGGCTGCCATCGAAACCCTGACGGGCGCCTGCACGGTCGACGTTGCTCGCAGCGTCATGGGTAACGGGTACGAGTGGCTCGTTACGTTCTTTGGAGCGACACGCAAAGGAGACAACAACCTGCTGCGAGCGATGCGGCCTAACGCGCTCCTTCTCGACAACGTCGCAGACTACGTCGAGCCCGAGGCGGTCATTGTGCCCATCCTTCGGGCAGAGCTCTCCACGCCCAAATCCGGCGTCCCCTACTACGTCCGAGTGGCCGCCACCAACGCTGTAGGCACCGGCGGGTTCCGCACGTCCACGCCGACCTCGCTGCAGCCCGCGGCCCAGCCACCGACGCCCCCAACCTACGCGATCGTTCAGCCTCTGTCGGACGCAGAGCTGATCGTTCAGTGGGAGGCACCGCTATCCGACGGCGGCGAGACGATCTCGGACTACATCGTGGAGTGGGACATGGCCACGACCTTCGACAGCGGCGCGGACGGCAACCCGGTGGGATCGACCGTGGTGAACGCGTCGGAGAGGGGGTCCGTGGCGGACGTGCAGGCGGTCCGAGTGTCCGTCGACGACGGTCTGTTCGTTTCCGGGTCGTTCTTCCTGGAGTACGACGGCCAGGTCACCGACTCAATCCAGTTCGATGCCTCGGCCGCGGAGGTGGAGGCGGCCCTCGAGGCCCTCTGCACCGTCGGGGACGTGGGCGTGACGCGAAACCTGGGTCCCTCGAACGGCGGGTACACCTGGCTGGTGACCATGATCTCGGTGGCGGAAGGAGAGGAGAGCGGCGACGGACAGGTAACCACGCCTTCGGCCCTGCAGACGGTGGGCTCTCACAAGCTCGGAGTAGACGGCGAAAACTTGCTCGCGTGTGGAGATGACTCTCGTTCAGGGTGCTGGAGCGACCCAGACCGTACCAGCGCCGAGCTCGAAACCAGCAGGGAGGTGCAGCGACTGCTGTGCCAACCGGCCAACGACTTCAATATCACCTTCATGGGCGAGACCACGAGCGCGCTGCCCAGCGACGCTAACGCGACCGAGATCGAGGCTGCCTTAGAGGCACTCTACAACGTCGGGGATGTAACCGTCACTGGCTCTTGCAGCGACCTGTCGGCGGCGAGCTCCTACATCTACGTTACCTTTGAGAACGATGGCGGAGATCTGCCGGTTCTTGCATCAAGTCTGGAAGGAGACTTCGAGGAGGTAGAAAGAGGACGCGCTCAGGTCGTCATCGGGCAAAAGCCGTTTTCTTTTGTCATCGGTGACATCGCTGCCACGGCTGCTACACCGTGGGCGGTGAGGGTCTCCGCCTACAACCGTGTCGGTTACAGCGACTTCGCGGTGGCCATCCATGACTCGAGCGAAATGGTGGCCGGGGGCGTGGGCGCTCCAACTCTGCCCGAAAACATCGCCGTCGAGGTTGCCACCGCGCGTTCGGCGTGGGTGTACTGGGACGCCCCGGCATCGAACGGCGGCGATCCGGTCTCCGAGTACATTGTCGAGGTCGACACATCGGATGGGTTCGACTCCGTCTGTGGGGATGGCCCCGAGGTGCAGACGCTGACCATGTCCTCGAAGAACGCCACCCACGAGGGCGAGAAGTTCAACCTGACCATCGATGGCGTACAGCACTTGACGTGCCTGGAGTGGAACGCCGGGGTTTTCGCGGTGCAAGACGGTCTGCGCGCGGCCGGCGGGGCCCTCGAAAACGTCGTCGTGACCCGCGGGGGGGACGGAACTTCCGCTTGGGCCTACGGGTACGCGTACTCGGTCACCTTTGTACACAACACGACTGATACTGAACTGGCAAACATCCCGCAGATGGAAGTGTCTTCTTGCGGAGAGGGGTCGGATGACGTTGTCTTCGAGGTGAAGACCCTGAGAGATGGTACCACCGCCACGGAATTGGCGTGCCGGGCGAGAAACCTCCTTGCAATGCGGTCGGACGCTGTCTCGGCTTCTGCGGCAAAGGGGGCCGGCGAAACGGCTCGGGGACAGTTCGGCCACTTGGTGGAGGGGCTCGCGCCCGGTTCGTCTTACAGGGCGCGAGTGGCAGCGGTGAACTCTGTGTCTAGGTCCCCGTGGTCCTTTTTGGGGTACCCTGGTCGCCCGATGACATTCTCTCCCACCGCGGAGCCCAAGATTCCCCGGAATGTCACCGTAACACCTGGAACAAACCCGGGGGAGTTCCACGTTGGCATCGGCCTGCCCGTCGGCACCGACGTGACCGGCGCTGAAGGGCTTCCGCTACAGGGATTCCGGGTCGAGGTTGCCAAGCGTGTGAACGAAATGCAGATGGTGGCCGTGGTGTTTGCTGCGTCGGACGCCGCAGCCGGGTCGACCGTAGCGTACCCGACGCAAGGGTCGTACACCCTGACCGTCGGCAACGCCACCACGTGGTGCTTGGATTGGGATGCCCCGGCGGAGGACATACAGCTAGCTCTGGACAGCCTCGCAACGGTCGACGGGGTCGAAGTTGACGCCATGCAGCCCGAAATCAACTCCACGTCCAACGGGACGACCTCCGAGTATTCGTCGCGTCCGATGCTTGTGTCCTTCACGGGGCCTCATCTATCGAACGGGGACCAGGACCTCATGGAATTCTCTCTCTGCACGATGCTAAGCGCTGGCGCGTACCTCGATGTGTACACCGTCGCAGACGGCGTTCCCGGCGTCGTCAGTCCCACCGTCGCCGTTTCGACAGCTATCGTTGAGGACACCGATGACGATGCTGATGCCCTGATGTCGGGATCCTTTTTGGTGTCGTTCGGATACCGAGGCGACCTCGACCTTCGCCTGGGCGAGGGCAACGAGACCTCGGTGTACGTTACGGTAGAGGCAAGATCAAGGACGGTCCAGTGCTCCGAAGACCTTAGCCACTACGTCAGTGCCGGGGATGTGATTGAGGTTGGAGGGGTGCAGCTGGTCGTTACGGGCGACTTTGCGTGCGAAGACACGGTCGCAAACGACAACACCGTCGGTACGTACCCTTGTAGCTTTGCGGTGGAGTCTCCGCACCCCTCCGGCGCGGTCGCCGTCCCAGCGTACGGCGCCTCCAACGGCTTAGGCGGCGTGCACGTTGAGACCGGGAGCACCAGGGTACTCACCGACTGGGACTTGACTCCTTATCTGACGGAAGGAGATGCAATTATCGTGCGCGATCCAACCACCGGAAAGTACTTCGAAGGCATTGTGGCGTCCGTTGACCAAGATCGTGTCTTCCTGCAATCGGGCTACGACGGCCCATCTGCCGTGAGAGCGGCTGCCTTCTTCAGTCCCTACGCCGTCGTGCCATTCGACGCTTCCGCCGAAGAGCTCCGAGACGCGATAGCGTCGCTTCCCAGCGTGGGATCAGCGGAGGTTAACCGCGAAGGCCCGGACGAAACCCTTGCCTTCGCGTGGTCGGTAACACTCACGTCCTACAACGGGCCTCTCTCAGGAGCACACGCCCTGAAGGTGTCCTCGACGACCGGCAAGGCCTTGGAGGTGGCCGGGTGTGGCGGGGCAGGCAACGGGACGTACGTGGCTACGGGAGACATGGTAGACGGCCGCATGCGGTACAAGCTGGTCGACCGACCGACGTACATCCAGTACGATTCTTCCGCGGACGCCGGCAGGGGTCGGTGGGTTGTGACGTCCGACGGGGAGGAAGAGCCGTACGTCCAGGCGATTATTGGCCCGGATTCCGCACCACGAGACTCTTTGATTCCCCCGACCGGAAGCGGCTCCTACTGGAACGTGCCTTCCTGCAACGTGTCCATTCCGGGCTCGCCCACCGTGCTCCTGGGTGGCAGTGTTTCGAAGGCCGACGTAGACGTCGGCGTTGAGGGAAGTTTCGTCGAGCTTGCCCAGGACGTGTCAACTCGGCCGGGGGTGCCGGAGGTGCAAGAGATCCAGCTCGGGGCCAGCAGTGACGCTTTGGATGGTACGTTCATGGTCGACTTTGCTGACGGTGGCGGCTTCACCGCGGCGTGGGACATTTCTGCAGGAGATATGGAGGTAAACACGGAGGAGAATTCACGGAGGAGAGTTCTGCCTTGACAAACATTAAGTACAGCACGTAGCTGAAACCTCGGTGTCACGACCATGGTACGGACTCGGTGGCAGAGATAATTTTCGACGGTACTGCTTCCAAGACAGATATCATGTTGCAACGATACCAGATGCCAGTCAATGACAGCCCATGCGAGTTGAACTTGACCACCTCGTCAAAGCAAAAGGACATTTCATCGCTGATGCTAGCGTACCACGCCAGGAATCAATACCGTTGTCGGCTGTGCTGCGGTAACTCCACCCTTTTCAAACCGCCTGCCGCGCGTCAACCGTGACTTCTCTCAGGTTCTCCTCGAGCAACTGCCGACCGTAGGAGACGTGACCGTCGCACGCGGTGCGGCCCCGGCAGGCTTTTCCGACGGCTACACGTGGACCGTCACCTTCGAGACGCAGGTCGAGAATCTGGAGCCGTTGTTCGTGGACGGCAACTCAACCGGGAGGCCGATCGTCGGACCGGACGCACAGCTCTCCGTCGTGGAACTCCGGCGAGGCGTTTCCCCTTCCCTGGTCCTAGAACTCGCCGGGTTGGTGCCCGGAGAGACGTACGTGGCTCGTGTGTCGGCTGGAAACACCGCTGGGTACGGCCCGACCACGCTTGCGGACGCTACTTCTGGTGGAGATCGCGGAAGTAATAACGACGGCCTCGGCATCGTGCCCTTCGAAGTGGTCGCTCGAGCCGCGCCGCAGACTCCGCGCATCGCCGGTGTTACCGCTATATCGGCGTCTCAGTTGGAGGTTGCCCTGGAACCACCGACGGACACACCTGGTTTCGAAGCTCTTGGATACAAGGTACGCAGAAAAACGAACCGGGATGCTCATGGTGCTGTTGGTTGTAGGCGTAACGTTGGCAGAGTCACAGCGGTGGTAACGATTGCCCCGCCGTCATCTGTTTCGCCTAGATCGTGATACTGCCGAATGTAGAAGCGCGTGTACTGGCACGGTGTTTTTGAACGGTTTTACCGATGTCGTTTTCTGGATTGGCCATTGGGCGTTCCTTCGCGGGGTAGACTGGTGACAAATGGTTTTTACATGTGACAGGCTTTATTCTTCACAAAGTCTCCCATACACAAAACTCAACTCTTGATATTCCGAATTGCGTGAAGGCCAACCCAACCGCCGCACGAGCTTGTACACTGTCTGGTGATGCAAAACCTGGGCTGACCATGATTTGCGCTTCCATCAACAACAAAAAGAAATAATGCTCATTTTTCCCTCACATCCTACGACCCCGCTTCACACCCTCAGGTGGAATGGACTACAGCCGAGAACTTCGGCAAAAACGAGACCAAACTTGTAACTGTGTCCTCTGATGTGGACGACGACACCGAGGGGCGGTTCCGACTTCGGTTCGGGGGACAAACGACGTACCCCCTCCAGCACAACGCGTCCCCCGACAGCGTGAGAGAGGCCCTCGAAACCCTCGCGACCGTGGCGGACGTGGGCGTTTCGTCATCCCCGGACATGCTTCTGGCATCGCCGTCGTCCGGAAATTCGTCCGCCGTTTTCGGTTCGGCATGGACCATAACGTTTGTTGGGGTGACGGGACCCTTGCCGAAGGCTGGGTACGCGTGCACGGGGTGTGTGTCCGGGTTGTCAAACAACAGCCTCGTATCTGACGCCCTGCCGGTTCGACTCAACGTCACCTCTGACCTGACGGATGTACTAGCGCCGGGGGACCGGATATCTCTGTCGCCCCACCACACCAACGCCTCGGCTTACGAAGCAACGTGCCTTCTGCTCACCGAGGAGATGACAGCTGACACGGTGTACGCTTCTGAGCTACCTGGGTCAGCTTGTGCGTTTGTTGATGGCCCGGACGCTTTGCTCGCACTCTCGTTCTACGACTCTTCCGGCCTAACGGTGGAGCACGTAGACCTGAGGTCCGTCTCCGGCGATGGTTCAATTTCCGCGTACGTGACTGAGCTCGTGTCTGGGACGTACCCCGACGTGTACGGGTACGCGGAGCTTAGCGCCGAGGAGGGCTGTGGCTCCTCCGTGTTGGGGCCTTCTTCGTCCGTGCAGCGCTTGGTGCTGACCGCAGGGTCATCAAACTCCCCAATCACGCCCATCGTCAACGGATCGTACCGATTGGCTCTCGGAGAGCACATGACGGAGTGCATCAAATACAACGCGACCCCAGCGGACCTGGCCTCTGCCCTCGGAGCACTCCCCAACGTGGCGGGCGGCGCCTCTGTCTTCGGCCGGGTGTTCGTCGACGACGGCACGTACTACCCGGTTAACGACCAGGAATTGCTGGTGACAGATGGGCTCGGGTACGACTACCTCATCCGCTTCTGGGGAGCCTACGCGTCCAAGAACGGGGCCTGGCCTCAGCTCAGAGTGCCTGCCGAGTACTTCGGCCGATCGGACGGAGGGAGGTATGCATGCGACGAGTTTGTGTCGATGGATGGCGATACCGAGCCGTCTGCGCAGGTGGTCATGCTCAAGCAGGCGCGTACGTGCGCCTCTGGGAACCCCACGACACAGGTTATCCTTGCCGAAGCCTCGTCAGCTCTGGGTGGCTCCTTCTCCCTCCGCCGGTCGGACGGGCAGCAACAGGTCGTGCCGCTTGCGTCGACGGCGGCAGAGATGGAAGTTCTCCTGTCCGATGCCTTGGAAATATCGGTGGATGTCGCCGAAGCGCGAATGGGCGACCACTCTAAGGCTTGGCTGGTCAGCTTCGACGAGTCCGCCGGAGACACGGACCGCCTGGCTGTCTGCGACCGTTTCGCCACCGGGAGCGGCGCCTCCGTCGGAGTCTACGACGCCGTGGTGATGACGACGTCTGCCTCCAACGCCGCAGGTAACTCGGGCCACTTCCGCGTCCTCCTGGGTGGGGCGGTGTCCGACCTCCTTTCTTTCGATGCCACGGACGGCCGGGTCGACGTGGCCCTCCAGGCGATGATCGGGGTCGGGAAGGTCGCCACTCTCAGCCCTGTGGCTCTCGGCGGGAGCGGCGGGGTCGACATCGGGAACGTGACGCTGTTCAACAACAGCGCCTTGGTGGAGGCAGCCGGGGATTTGTCCAAGACCCTCGCTCCGGGCGACACCGCCGTGTTCGGGATCGTCGAACAGCAGTACTTCGAGGTCTCCTCGCTCTCGTACAGCGAGGTGTCTGACGTCACGACGCTCATCCTCAACCATACCGTCACGGACCTCGCGTTCGACAGGATCAACTCCTCGGCGGTGGTAGGGACCGCGGCGGTGTCTCGTTCCGCCCTTCCTGGTCGAGCGAGGATGGTGTCTGACGTGCGGGTGCTGTACTCCTACCCGAACGTGGAGGCCTCGGTGCGGAAGCTTGAGCTGAGCGAAGGAGGTTTGGACATTCTTGGGATCGGTCTCAACTCCACCGTCATCGTCGCGGGTGAGACTTACCAGGTTACGGACTACGAGAACGACAACGTTGAGCTATCGCGCGACTTTGTGGGGCCGACTGTGGTGGGGGGAGACATAGAGTTGAAGGTGTTCGGGACGTCCATGGTCGTCGCTTTCACGCGCGACGTTTCGGACAAGGCCGGGGTGGGAGACGTTCTGTGGATAGAGAATGCCAACGGAGACGTGGACGAGCTGAAGGTCGAGGAGGAGTTCTCGCACAACAGTTCGTATCTCCTGTCGGGACTGTTCTCGTCCGACTACAACGGGATGACGGCCTACACCCTGGGGAATGGGCGCACGTGGATCCTGGCGTTCAAGCACACCGATGTCGACCTCGATACGTTCCAGGTAGAGCCCCAGCAGAACTGGCGAGGGTTAGGGGGCTCCATAAACGTTCAGCGGCCGCGAGGATTCGCACCACTCACCACAACCTTGGGGTCGCCTTCCGAAGTGCAAACGGTGGCTCTAAGGTCCAACCAGTCGTCGTGGGGGGCCGAGAATATCGAACTGAACGCCACGTGGTCGCTGTTGCTATGGCCGGAAGACGGGGCGACAGCACAGCTGCCCTGGGGCGCCACAGCCGCCGAGGTGGCTTCCGTGCTGGAGGCGTTATCGGCGGTTTCTCGCGTGGACGTGGAGAGGCTCGGGGACGGGGAGTCGGCGGAGTGGTTCTACGGGTACATCTACACGCTAAACTTCTGGGGCGTGCATGCGTCCTCGAGCTTGCCGCAGGTAACCGTGGAGTCGTCGCTGGCCGGAGTGACGGCATACGTGGACACCGTTCGGCAGGGAGCAGCGGTAGCCTCGCAGACACCGACCCTGGTCGCCCTGAAGGAAGGAGTTCCTTACTCAATACGCGCTAGCGCTTTCGGGGCGGAAGGGTACGGCCCGGCTTCCGACATCGCAGTTGCGGAGACCCCCTCGGTGGGCATGCTCCCCGGTCCTCCAACGGCGGTAACCCTGGGATCTTGCAAGTACTCTTCGACGTCCCTGGGCGTCAAGTGGCGGCCGCCGCTGAAGGGTGGGGGGCAGAGCGTCGACGCGTACCGCGTCGAGTGGGACCGCTCGCAGCCCATCTCCGAGAACAGCGCGGCGTACGGCACGGACTACCTGCAGGTGACTCACGAGGTGCAGGAGATCTTGGTGAACTTCCGCTCCGGAGACTCGGTTGCCACGCGTGGCGGGACCTTTTCGGTGTCCTGGGGCGGGCACTCCACCGCGGACTTGCCCTGGGACTCGTCCGCCGCTACCCTAGAAACCGCCATCCTCGCTATTTCCGGGGTGCAGGAGCTTGCCGTGAACCCTATCGGAGTCACTCGAGTGCCATACCGCAACGGATTCCGGTGGACGGTCACCTTCCTGGCGTGGAGAGGTGACCTGGCCATGCTCCGGGGAGACGGCACCTTGCTGGTCGGGGACGACCCTTCGCTGACGTTCAGAGAAAAGGTGGCCGGAAGGGCGGATATCTACCCTGGGGACTACACCAGCGAGGTGCAAGCCGTGACGGTTACTTCTCTGAGTGCCGTGTCGGGTACGTTCACGCTGGCGTTCGAAGGCAAGGAGGTGGCCGCGGTGAGCTACGACGAGTCGGCGGAATCCTTCAAGGAAAAGCTCGAGGCCATCGACACCATCTTCTGCGTGGACGTGAAGCGGTTCACCGTGGACGATGAGCTGAACCTGCACAGCTGGTACGTGACTCTGGCCTGGCTGAACGGAGAGGTGGTGCCCGGGGCCGGCAACCTTGGTCTCTTGACCGTCGAGTCCACGTCCAACCTCGATGGCAACGGGGCCGACGTCGGCGTGTTCGAGCTGGTCGCCGGGACAAACCCAATGGAGTACACCATTCCGGACCTCCTCCCGGGAGTGCAGTACTTCGGTCGGGTCGCCGCGCACAACTCGCGGGGCTTCGGCGAGTTCAGCCCCGACGCTTCGGGCGTCCCTCTGGGGCAGCCAGGACTCCCCTTGGACGTGACGCTTGCCATTGGAAGCGGTTCTGCCATAAGCACCACATGGTCTCGCCCGTCGTCGGACGGGGGAGCGGCCTTGTCCGGGTACATGGTGGAGTGGTACACCACGGTGGACCCCGGCCAGAGCGAGGTGCAAATGGTCACGACTTCGGCCAAGAAGGGCGTGAGCGAGGTCCAGACCGTGTCCATCACGGCGGACGAAAACAACCTCGGCGGCTACTACACGGTTTCCTTCGACGGCCAAATGACGGGAAACATCGCGTGGGATGCCCCCGCCACGGGAACTGATTCCGTCAAAGAGAAACTCGAGAGGCTGCCCGGCGTCGGGGACGTGGACATCACCCAGGACTACTCCCGGGTGGCCGTGGCCGGCTTGCGTGTTGACGTTCTCGTCGGCGCCGACAGCGCCACGGCGGGGACCTCCTCGACGCTCCTACCGTCCCAGTCGGGGCTCGTGAAGAACGACATTATCTTCCTGGCCGGGTATCGAGCGCGTGTCCGGGGGTTCTCGTCCGACGGTAGCACCCTCCTGTTCGGATCGATGGACGACTACACCGAGGCGGACAGCTTCGACGAGGACTTTGGCGCCGAGGGCGTCATCGTCGAGAAGTGGGCGTACGGCTACGAGTACGCGGTGACGTTCAGCTCCTACAACGGCGACGCCCCCCTCATGGAGGCGTCGGCTTCTGACGGGTGGGCCGGCACCAACCCGACGATCGACATCGAGGAGGTGACGCCCGGGTTGCAGCCAATCAGTGGCTCGTTCCGCCTGAGGTATGACCGAGAAAACACGCCTCCCCTGGCGCACGACGCCTCCGCGGAAGAGATCGAAGCGGCCCTAGAAGGCATCATTGATATCGGTGACGTCACCGTGTCCAAAGTCATCAACGGGTACGGGCACAACTGGATCATCACGTTCGTCACCGAGATGGGGGACGTGGACCTTATGGAGGCTGACGGCACGGGACTGACCGGCCCCAGCGCTGCCGTTTCCGTCTCCGTGGGACAGGACGGTATCCTCCCTCCCTCTTACGGGAGCCAGGAGATATCCGATGCGTCCATCCTGGACTACACGATCGAGGGCCTTACGCTCGGCGAGGCATACTCGGTCCGCGTGCGCGCGGCCAACGCAGAAGGCTACGGGGCTGCGGCCGGAGCCGTCCCGGCGAGCATCCGCCCACTCGAAGCCCCGGGGGTCCCCGTGGACGTGAGTCTGATCGTCATGAGCGACGCCATGCTGAAGCTCGTCTGGTCCGCCCCGCTTTCCGACGGCGGCAACACCGTGACCCAGTACCGCGTCGACTGGGACACGGCCGAAGACTTCTCGAACCTCGCCACCTCCGGGTTCTACCACGTCCTCTCCGTGGGCGCCGACCCAGGGCCGTACTTCTACAACATCGTCGTCCCCGCGGCGTCCGCCTGGCTCCCACGGTTCGCGCGCGTGACCGCATACAACTCCTTCGCTTGGAGCGAGCCCGGCGTGCCCGATCCCGCCAGCAGCCAGCCCGCGCTGCGGCCGCCTGGCGAGCCCCAGTCGGTGACCCTTGCCGTTACGTCCGGGGTCGGGTTGGCCGTTTCCTGGGAGGAGCCGTCGACGAATCTCGTCGTGTACGGGGGGGACGGCGGCAGCGCCATCGAGGAGTACCTGGTCGAGTGGGACACGAGCGCCAAGTTCGACTCCCCCGCCAGGCGGGCCGTGGTGGCCATGCCCGCTGCGCTGTCGCACCTCATCGGCGGCCGGGACCTCATGACGGGCGAGGAGTCCACCGAGCTCGAGCCCGGGGTGACCTACTACGCCAGGGTCTCCGCCTTCAACGCCGAGGGGTACGGGGCCGTCGTGCCCACCGTCCCGAGCTCTGCGACAACCGAAGACCAGGTGCCGGCGTCTCCGGAGCTTTTGGGCGGGGAGACGAACGGGGCGACAAGCATCGCGGGTTGGCTGAGTCCCCCGGCGAGGGACGGCGGAGAAACCTTGACCAAGTACCGGTTAGAGTGGGACGTTAGCGACGACTTTTCGCACATCAACGGATCCAGCAGAGCGGGCGGGTGGGAAGACGTGCCGCTGGTGCAGGAGGTGCAGGCCTTCGCCGTGTCCTCGTCGATCGGCCAGGAAGAGCAGTGGATCATCGCCACGGTGGAAGTGACCAACGAGCGGCAGACCGTCCGAACCCAGGTGAAGGCTTGCTGACAATGAGCTCAAGGGAGAGTGCGCGGGGCGTATCGTGCACTCCTTGTCCCAGCTGAAACACACTTCACCGGGCGTGGTGAACGTTAGAGGGTGTAGGTGCTCCCACATGGGAAGGGTGATATCTATCGTCTATTTCCGTGAATGTCGATTGCTCACACACCGGGCGATGTACTAAACCACAAAGAAATTCCCTAGTTTCAGTCCTCTGATACACTGTTGGCCTGGCACCTCTCCTCCCCGCTGTACTTGTTCTGTCAAGCTGAAACCTCACCTCACGTGTCTTGTCCCACCGCTGTCCATTGGTTACCGCCGTCTCAAAGGTTGACGGGGTAGACGAAGTTCAGATGATCGTCACATCCGCGGACCGGGTGCAACCGCACATTCAGACCGTCACCACTTACGCCGCGGACTTCGACGAGGTGCAGACCATAGCGCTGGACGCCGACGACGTGGACGAATGGCAGTATGCCTACATCGATGTCGCACGCACGGTCTATGAAAGCCAGGTGAGGCGCTTGCCTTGGGCGCAAGACACCACCCTTACCACTAGCGGCGGCGCAGCGGTGCAGCAGTTCGTTTTCTAAGGTCGAAATTATGGAGCCTGCTCCAGCCGTGGGCTTGGCTGCGGTGGATGACTCATTTAAGTGATACATGATACACACCACAGTTTTTCTTGGTGTCCGCCGTGGAGATGGGGAGGTAGATATCACGTGTCTCAGAGTCGTAGCAACAGCTTCCGTCGATTCCGCCAAAGCAGCCACTTTGAAGACAGTCTAAGGGTACCGTGTGCAATTGAGTCAGTCCTCGCCACATCTGCGCAGCGTGTTTCAGGATCTAAACCAGAATGAAAATACTTTTCGTCCGATATTCTGACAGGTAAACCAAGTGTTCTGCTTGTAGGTCGTTAGGGCACTCAGTCGAAAGGGTAAAAACGCGAGGTGCTGCTTGCACTGCCACATCCTCCATACAACACTGAAAGTGTGCGAAAGCACATACCTGCGAGTCGCTGGAAGTACTTACCGTGTAGTCTGTTCACTGCCACACTCGAAACCTTCTCCATACAGACGGGTGCTTGATTTCTCCACTCTAGGGGCACCAGTTGTTACTGCTGAAGCCTGAAAGCAACCCCTTTGTTCCCCGTGCATGCATCAGCCTGAACCTTCATCTCTCACGTTTCCAAAACGTGATCGACGGGTCGCTTTCAGGTCTTGACGGTTTCTGCCACCCGTGAGGACGAGGTCCAGCAGCTGGTGGTGACCTTCACGGGAAACACAACCGACGGTGGGGTGAAGATGATGGCCGACGCCCCCACAAACGCCTTCGTCGCCCTCACGTTCGACAGCGGGAGCATGAACTGGGCCTGCACAGATGCCACGGAAACCACACCGTATGTAAGTTTCTGCATAGTTTTATCACGCCAAAGCTGAGGTGCCCGATATATGGCGGTCACTAGCAGCTGCCCTGCCACCGCCTTATTGGGGGAACCCCACTGTATCGAAGTACGACTGTAGTACGAGAGAATGAAGACGTGACCAATGCCGAAATGTGTTGCTCAAGACATACTCGCACACGACAAGATGTGCCACGTGGCTGGGACAACCACCCTAACTTATACCTTATTGCCAAAGGCACGACATCTGTCACGTCAATAAGAGCCGGGAAAACGTGCAATCGTGTCAAGTATAGGGTCTACGGCCCCCGGAGGCTTTCAATATGTGATGTACGCGGATTTTTGCCTCTTTCGTGTTGCTTGCTAGCTGCACATACGCCAGAACGACCAATAATTTGATTTCGCGGAAATACCATCACCCGTGGCGTTAACGATGCTCTGGTTGTGGGGGGTTCCATCTTGAATTCGCAGATCACCGACTTCACCGGGCAGCAGCCCGTGAAGGACGCTTTGGAAGGCCTATCGAATGTCAATGGCGTAACCGTTACGTGGGAAGAAGTTATCACCGCCTACGACGACAACGCAGGCACCCTGGAGCTGCGGTACAACGTTACATTCGACGGCGACTGTGTCAGGGGCAACGTCCCGACTGGGGGACTCGCGGAATCGTGCTACGCGAGTGCCACCGACGTTCTCGCTGACGTCGATTGCAGGTGCTGCTGGTGGTAGTCGTAACTACACTCGCATCACTTTGTTCGACTTCTCCGCGTCGGATGGCCTAATGATACACCGTTCTGTTTCTTTCTTTTGGCGATGCACTTAAATCTCACATTTGCTGTCTACCAGTCTTGATCCTCATTCTTTGGTCTTGAATCAAAGGATATGAACAACTGTTCTCACCCTTCCGTTTGTCACTATCTCACCTCTGCGATAAGCCTAATCTGATCACCATGCTTTTGTTCAGATGAGATAACACATCATAGGGGTCAACGCGTTTCTTGGTTGACGTTTATCGTGTCTGGTGTTGGAAGCTGATGTTGCATACCTCCCTAGACCCTAGACAGTAGCATGCCATAAAGCTCTTCGGACAGTCTATCCCTATAAGGCAAAAATATCTACCCCTCTTCTTCGTTGTTCTGAAGGCCATATCATACGCCCCCCGCTCTACCCGTCGTGCCTTCCCCCGCGCCACTCCTGCCACCCCAAACAATTTCTTAACCCCAAGCATCACGACGTTGGCCGACGGAAACGAACCCGAGGGGTCGTTCTACCTGACGTACCACTGCGAGTCCATCGTCAACTCCACAATGGCAAACGTGACCCAGTTCAGCGACCTGATGGTGTTCAACCACACCGGCGGCGTCGAAGTCGGGGACACGCTCCGCGTCAACACCGTCGAGGGGTCGACCGGGGGCATCGCTACCGACTGGGAGTACTTCACCATCACCGATGTCAACGGTTATAGCATTACCGTTGACGTCAGCAGCACCGCCGTCGACATTGCGGACGGATACTACTACGTGGAGTACGGCAGCTTCTACTCCGGGCCTGGCATGGACCACGGGGTCAGCGCCAACTGTTTCCAGGCCGACCCGGACTTCACCAACAACCCCCTGGACCACGACGTGTCTGCGTCGGATCTTCAAGATGAGCTGCAGGGTCTGGCCCAGATTAACAGCTCTGCTGGATGCCTCGAGGTGGGCGTGGGCCTTAGCATTCAGATTGTAGTGAATTTCTTCAACGTTGGGGGTTTCAGACACTAGATTCGTGGAATATCTGTTTTTGGCTCGGCTCTCGACACTCGGTCTCCTTTCACCTGCTGAGCATGACTACACAGTGCCTTCACGAGTGCAGTATTAGAAAATGTGCGTGGTCATGCCTTCAACATGGCAGCGAACCCATCGTACTGAACAGCGAACCCAATCTCGTACGACCTACTCGTAGAGATGGCTCATCAGGCCGGACAAAATACCGGAACGCCTTGACGGAGCGCGCTCCCAGGCCTAAACCCAAAGTCTCGCTCTTCCGTGCAGCAAACAGGACACCCTCTACTACATAGCTGAAAGAAACCTGCATGCATCAACATCGTACTCCCCTGCAACACGTCTCCTCATCTGCGCCAGGTGGTACGCAACCCCATCGAGCTGGGAACAACGGTGGACTTCGGGTCCGGCTCCCCGGTGGAGGTAATCGGCTACCAGTACAACCTCACCTTCTACTGCGCCAACGGCAACGTGCCCACCCTCGGCTGCAACACCAGCGGCACGAGCCCCTTCACCTCCACGAACGAGGACATGAGCGGCCTCACCCCGCCGGAGGGGAGGCAGTGCCAGATCACCAGCGAGATCGACGGCTCTTCCGTCTCCGGAGGCTTCACCCTGTCCACGTCGTACCCCCACGAGAAGGAGGGGGACCCCGTGTGGGGCTACACAACCTCCGAGCTCAGCTGGCGCGCGACCGCCGAGGAGGTCGAGACCGCCCTCGAAGACGTGAGGGACGCGGACGACGCCCGGGTGTTCGGGGCCGTCACGGTGGAGAGGCACGTGTACTGGCCGGAAGGGGCGTACAAATGGTCCGGTCAGTACAACTGGTCCATCACGTTCGACACCCGGCCGGGGGACGTGCCGGAGACGCAGAGCGCGTCGACGGTGGTCACCAACGACGGGGTAGCCGCCGCGGTGTCGGTGGGGACCGCCCGCGACGGCAACGAGATCGACGGAGGGTTCGGTCTGTCGTTCTGCCCCCGCGGGGTTGAGTGCATAACGACCAACGCCACCTACTTCAGCGCCTTCCTGACGGAGGACGAGCTCAAGGCTCGATTCTCGGAGGCGTTCTTCACGCGGGGCTCGGTTTCGGTTAATGTCAGCGAAGCCTTCGGGGCCGCCGAGGTGAGGATAAGCTACCCGGACAACGACACCGCGGCCACCATCGAGGTCTCCGACTGGCTCCGCTTCGACAGCACCGACTACACGGTCGACAGCGTTGTGGAAGACCCCTCAGACGGCGCCTACGACCACCTCGTACAGCTCAGCGCTAACGTTACCTCCCTCAAGGGAGCCTACGACGCCACCTTTGGCACGACCGCCGTGTCCGTCACCCGCAGCGGGCCCACGCAGGCCATGGGCTACTCGTGGGAGGTGACGTTCTCGAACAAGACGGTGGGCGGGAACCAGCCGGACATCGACTCTACGTCCTCGGAACTGACCGGATCGGGGGTGGACATCGTCATGTCGGAGACCCAACAAGGAAACCAGCTGACGGGGACGTTTACGCTGTCCTACGACGGTGTGTTGAACTCCCGTTCTTGGCCCCCTTGTTTTGAATGTTTTCCTTGTTCCCTGTTCGCTTGCTCCACCTTGCCAAACTAGGTTTGGTTGCCCGGCATGGGCTAGTCGCCTTGCCCCGAAAGCGTCGTACCATTTGACATGCCAAATTGTCGCGTGATGTTCTCTACCAAGAATATCGCAGTCATTTGTACGTCAAACGTTCTAGGGAGTGCATCCTGTTAGGTAGCCCAGACGTAACATTGCTCCATCCCAAAACGTGCCTGGTTCTGTTTCAGACTCTTATCATTCCTGCGTTGAGTGCATTCCGGCAGGATTGGCCTATGGCCGTGGTCCACGGAACACTTGTCGATTTCATACAGAGCATGCCTCCAACATGTTTTTGCGCTGCTCTCCCCCTACCACTAACCTATGCCTCTCCGTGTAATGACCTAGCTTCGAGATCCGTGATCAAATCTTACCGTACCGAACAACGTTTTGGAAGTTGGAAGATCCTTGAATTCGCATTGTGTTTCTTTTCGTCTGCTCCTTCAACGAACAACCCTCCCTTTGTTGTGAACAGGCGAGACCTCGAGCGAGATCCCCTTCGACGCCGCCGCTGCCTCCGTCCAGTCCGCTATCAACTCCCTCTCCAGCGTCTACCCTTCGCGGGTAGACGTTACCCGTACGGAAGAGACCATCGACCGGTCCCAGCAGGTCGGGGGTTACACGTGGACCATCGTCTTCGACTCCGACACTTGGCACGACCCCACCGATCACTCCTCTTCTGAGACGTACGTAGACGGGAGCTGGACAGGGGATGCGGCAGACTGGGCGGACACTTGGCCAAGCACCGGGGAGGGGCGGTTTTCGAAGGCGTGGGGGAGAAACGTCGGGCGCTTGCCTGACATGGACTGCTCGAGCGATGGTCTCGGGACCACCCGCGGGGACGGCTCTGAGGATTGCAAGGTAATGTACTCTTTTGCTTGTTTTCAGTTGCTCGTTGCACCTCTTGAGCGCTTAAGGTGCAAGATATTCTCGTTCAAGAAATTCTGGTCATATGTGAGGGACCGTGAGATACAACAGAGGCATTACGCGTGCTTTCAAATGGTCTAAGGTTGGCGATGTTCTCATCTCTCCCCGTCCCCCGCAACCCCTTCCTTTTTTATTCAAAATGCTATCACACAGATCACGACGATCCAGGAAGGGACGAACCCGCTAGGGGGAACCTTCACCCTGACGCTGGACGCCCAGGGTCACGCGGTCATGTCTGCCGACGCTGTGTGCACCACCGGGCCCATCGCCCACAACGGTATGTGTGCTGATTGCCAAGATTACCACTGATATTCTACGCTTGCAGGATGATGTTGCTTGATACTTGTGGTACATCATTAAGGATTCGACAATCAACTACGCCTGTCTATCAGCGCCATAACATCGACGTGATATTGTTCTGTGTACGTACGATGAACGTCACAGCATGGGCTACGGCGGAAGAGTCGGACGGAGACGGGACTTCCATGGAGGAGATACTCGAGGCCACCGACTGCATCGGCGACGTGTCCGTCAGCCGAGGAGATCCAAACCTCGCCACTCAAAACGGTGGTTACGCCTGGCTTGTCACTTTCCTCAGGGACGCGGACTCCCCCTGCCAACAGGTAACCGCAATCGCCCAAAATGTAAAGCGAGATAGATGCCGTAACATCAGCTTTTGAGCAGATGAACGATCACATGCATCGTTGCCCGAACGTGTTGTACTCCCCACGACCCAGGTTCCTCGGTTGCGAACTTATGCGTATCCTCTTTAACCCCCACCGTCTGGGGTGTTGCTTCCTCCGTATCGTCAGGCCGGCGCCGACGGTCTCTGCAACTCGCCCGGTGACGTCCCCAAGTTCACCCTCTCGGACGACAACGCCGCCGACCTCCTGGGCACCAGCACCCGCAACGTCGTGTTCGGGGACGGAGACTCGACCCACGGCGCGCTCACGATTCTCGACGTCGCAGACGGTACCACCATGCCCCCTGGAGCCCCCGAAGTGCAGACGATCAGGGTGTACGACCTGGAACTTTCGGCCTCCGACAAGTTCGACGGAAACCCGGGTTTCGTGCTTAACCTGGGAGGAAACGCGAGCGGGTGCGTCCCGTGGAACGCCAGCGCCGATGAAGTAGCGAACGCCATCTCGGTCACGTATCCCCTGTACGGGGAGAACGTCGTAGTGACGCGGTCGACTCCTCCGGACGAGGAAATCTGGGGGCTGCCGTCCAGTCCGGCGCCAAATGGATACACCTGGACCGTCAACTACGTAGGCTACGACGGCGACGTCCCTGATCCCGGGGCCGACGGGGGGCTTTACTTCAACTCTTCTGGGAACGCGACCGCTTGCCCGCCGCTCACGGGGTGGCAGAGGGTAGACGCGCAGACGCTGGTCAACGGGACCTTCAACCCTGTTTCTTGCGAGGAAGAGGGCTGCGTGGACGGCATCGTTCTTCGCGGAAACTTCTCGGACTTTTCGATACCCGAAGACGCCTGCAATAACGTCACCGTGCCGTGGAACGCGTTGACGGGAGACATCGAGGCCGCCATCGAGAGTTGCGCCAACGGGACGCGCCAGGTGGAAGTCAGCCGCTCCGTCATCGACCAGTATGGCACCATGGAATGGGAAGTAACCTTCACGATGAACCCGGGGGTAACTCCTACTGGTGCAGGGGACGTGGAGGCGCTCTCCGTGGTTCAGAACCTGACGGGACTGTCGGAACACGCCTCCCAGCCCGTCGTCACGGAAACCCAGCAGGGCTCCACGGGACTGTCGGGCACCTTCGCGCTGGACTACAACGACGTCGGGGGCTCTAGGAAGGTCAGGTTCGACGAAGACGCGGACCGCATGAGGCGCAAGCTGGAAGAGATGAGCACCATCTCGGACGTCTACATCGACCTCGAGGAGTACCCTTCCAGCGACAGCGGAGGCTGGGGAGGCACCGCCGTCGAGGACGGCACCGCGGGGGGATATGTCTGGAAGCTCCGCTTCCTGACGGTCCCCGGCACGTACAACGGGGAGACTTTCCCCGCCGGGACCGGTAACGTGGACGCCATCGTCCCGTCGGCCTCCTCCCTGTCCGGGTCTTCCGCCAGCGTGGTCACCACCACCGTCACCGAAGGCGCGGATGAGATGGGCGGCGGCTTCGCGCTTGCGTTCGCCGGAGAGTCGACTGAAACGCTCCTCTACACCGCGGACGAGACGGCGGTCGAGGCCGTCCTCGAGGACCTGTCCAACGTCGGCGACGTTTCCGTGTCGTTCGACCCTTACACCCCTACACGGATCGCAAACGTCACCGTCACCGTAGCCAGAGACTCGTCCACCGCGGTGGTGACTTCTACGCGAGACCTTCGCAACTTCCTGTCGCCGGGCGTTGTCATCCGCGTCGGCGGGGAAGACGCGTCTGCGGGCGGCACGCTGGTGGGAACCAACGGTGAGGGGTACCTGGACTATCCCGGTGGTGTGGGACACAGGTGCGTCTCTCGTCTTTGACCGTTCACCCCCACCAAGACGTTGTACCGACCGAGCTTCCGCGTTGAAACAAAGGACAGCTTTTCGCTCAATCCAGCCTTGAAACTGACACGGAATCTTGGTATTATTGAAAGGATCTGTTTATTAAACTTTGCCATTACTCAATACACATGAAAGCGTTGTTCAGAACTTGCCATTTTTATTTTCCTCCTGGACTTCACGATCCTGGCCAAGCCGAGAGGCAGGCCCCGACAGCTCGATATGCTCAGCACCGACCGATGTCTCAAACCTTTTTTGGCTTCCCATCCTCGGTCGCAGGTCGACGGCGGTTCCCGGCTGGCCCGTCCTCGAGACCGACAACGACCTCTCCTCAAAGGCAGCCGCCGGTCGTCAGGTCCGTGTTGCCGGTTCGCGCTACACCCTCCGACGGGTCGGCTCCGAAGTCCAGACGGTCACCCTCGCGGCCGACGAATCAGTCTCGACGGACTTCTGGCAGCTGTCCCTGGTGCACTCCGGCCTGGGCGGTGAGACGTTGTGCCTGCCGTTCGACGCGACGGGTGATGATGTGGACGAGGCGCTCGAGTCTTTGGCTGCTGTTGATGTCGGCGGGGTGGTTGTCACGCGACGAGGCTCGGGGACCCACGGGGACCCGTACGTGCACTCGGTTTACTTCGAGGGCGGAAGCACTGCCGGGGATGTGAATGAGGTGGGTTTCCTTTCGCGGTTCCATCCTCGCTTATTCGTTTTCGTGCACTCGTGGACCTTCGTTCCCTGCTGCCAGTCTGTGCATTTCGTGCGCACACATGCCCATACATCAATATCGAAACCCGTTTGCACTCAGAATTCGCCCACCGGTCGTTTCAGAATTGTGTGTGCTTGGTGCCGGTCGGTGAACATGTACGCCAGGGGAAAATGCTTGTCGCGTTGTGTGAATCCCTTATTGCCCTGTCGATATTGGTATCACATGAAATTGGTTTGATATGCCCATTGTATAACGGGCTAGACCTCACTATATCTACTCGGCTCTTGGTGGGGGCACTCTCCATGTCACGCCTTGTTTTCCAGATGTCGATCAACACCACGGCCTGCGTCCTCGAGAGCGGCTTCGAGGCGCCGTTCAACGCGACGGCGCACGTCACCACCATTCAGCAGGGGGGCCGCGTCGAGCGTCAGAAGCTGACCCTCGCCACAGAGGCCGGGCACGTCCGAGGGGACTACTTCCGCCTCTCGTACAACGGCACCAGCTACGCTTCCACGGGCTGCCTGGAATGGGGCGCTCCGGCAGATGACGTATCGGACGCCCTGTCCGCGCTCCCCCCCGTCGGAGACATTCCCGTACCGTCCGACACGCTGACCCTGAACACCTCAGGCATGGACGTCTTCCCGTCGGCAACCGTGGCGCTGTCGAGCGGCCAGTTCGTTGACGGTCGCCTTGAAAGGGGGGACGTGGTTCGGGTGTTCGGCTCCCAGAACGACGCCGAGTACTCCGTCAGCAGCGTCTCCTCGGACGGGACCTCCGTGACCCTGGGCACCACGTTCCGAGCGGCGACCGGTAGCGGGGGGCTCGAGGCCGCGAACGTCACCCGCGTCGTGCCCGACGCCGTTACCGTTGCCCGCTCCGGCACCGGCAAGAGCGTCACCGAGGTGCAGAGGGTCGTCGTCACGGCCACCTCGGAGGTTGTGCCTTTGGACGGGCAGGGGTTCTTCCGGCTCCGGTGGGACCACGACGGCATTGAGGGCATCACCGAGTGCTTGGAATTCGGCGCGGAGGCGGCCACGGTCCAGGACGCCCTGGAAGCGATCGGATACGATCTTGACGGGTCGGGGACTAACTTCGAGGAAGGGGACGAAGGTCATGTGCTCGTCACGAGGGATGGCGACGCCAGCGCTTCCAGCGGCTACGGTTACGAGTACACGTTCGAGTTCAAGGGCGTGGCTGGGGTTAGCACGGTCGTGGGCAACGTGGAGCAGATCCAGGTGAGCCACATGAAATCTGCGGAACGTTCCCGGGAACGACGATTGGTGGAGATAAGTTAAGATGCCTTCGTTGTTTTTGATGCCGCTGCTCGAACCGCTGCCAATGGTTTGTGCGTGCCAAACTACCTATCCCCAACAGAGGTCGACAAATGACACTTCACGCACTAACACAACGTCGCCTGATACGAAAAAACACCGATGCAGGTGGTGGGGATCGGTGCGGTGAACGGCTGCACCGACGTCGGGGGAATCGTCGACACCGATACCCTGGACGGCATCACAGGAAACACCACCGACGGTTCCTACCACGTGACCCCGAGCGCTTCAATCGCCGGGAAACTAGCCCCGGGCGACCGCATCCGTATCGATGGCTCCACCGAGGTAAGCCGCCAAGCCGCGAAGTGTCGTGTCAATTTATGGTCGGACGATTGCGAGAGCGTTTCTTGGTGTAGTATTGCGTCACAAACATCTAGAGTGCGTAATTACATACATGCGCTAGTTGCTTTGCCAAAGTGTTGTCTGCTGACTGCAGCGATGAGAAATACGAATCCTACAACAAGAAATCGGAAATACATCCGATGCGTACGAAGCTCCCATACCGCTCCCTTGCGCCTGCGGGTGCTTACTCTGCATAACCCTTTGACTCATTCCTTTCCATGGCGCCCAGCCCTACCGCATTTACACGGTCGCGCTCGCGAACGGCGAAGAACGATTTTCGCTCACGGAGGCCTTCGACGGGGTTTCTACTGAGGAAGCGGCTCTTTCCATAGTCGGCGACGGTGTTCCACAGTTCCATGTGGAGACTGTCGCTGACGGTCAGGCGTCGTGGACCTACGACATCTTTTTCACGGCCCCTCACCTCGGCAACGTGCCGGAGCTGGTCGTCTTCGACGAAGGCACAGGTGGGCCCAGTCCGGTTTACTGTCGTTCTGGTTTTCACTTATGCGCGTGATCTATCCTGCTGCGGTTCACGTCACGTACCTGTTTAATGCACACACTACATGGAGTTCGTGCATTTGCCGAGAAATCTCAGCAGAGAAACTCCAGACTTCATACGAGCTTATCCTAGGACACAACAACGAGAACAAGGTAAACACGGACTCACGGGTCCCTACTCTCACCCTCCAGGCTAGTGCTTGGGCGTTGAGGGTCAGCCGTATAAGGTTTTCGGGTGAGGGGACGGCTACGATGTTACCTGGAGCTCCCGTGTCTCTAATGGCAATGATTTTGTCTATTGTTCTTCGCCTTACCTAAGGGGAGTGCGTGTCCGGTGACTACGACAACGAGAACGAGTGGTCAATCATCGGCGGGATGCGCCGTGACGTCAAGCTGTCGACGGAAGAAGACGGTGGCAGCCGCGAAATCGTGGAGCTCGTGTTGGCTTCTACAGCGGCGGCGGGAGGCCTACCCGAAGGGGCCGCCATGCGACTGTTCTTCAAGTACCACGGGGTATATCATAGGTAGGCGGTCGATTCGGAACTACCACAGTGTGCCGCCGTGCAAGTTACTCATATGTACGGCGAGGTAATTCAGGCTTACGGGAGAGTCGATATCGCCGGTTCGAGAAAAGTGCAGATCAAACAACACCGAACAGTAGTACCAAACCGGCCCATTCTACGACAATATTGGCTGCTTCCGTTCTAAAATGAAGAATATTGTAGGGTGGGCGTAAGAAGTAGGGTTTTCAAAATGTCAAGCCGCATGCGTAATTACTGCATGTGAGAGTGCATTGCCCCCAACATCCATCTCCTCTGCACGGAACCAACGTTCGTATGATATTGCAACGATAACGTAAATTATCACAGGGTCCCTGACACGGCCGAGTGCTTCCCGTGGGAGGCTGGCAGCACATCGGTACTTGAAGCGGGCTTCGACGACATCATCGGTGAGGCGGGGTCGGTTCATGTCAGCAGGACCGGGGATGAAACTGCCACCTCGGCGTACGGCTATACCTACGGAATCGACTTCGCCGGCACCGCAGTGAGGGGCGACATGGATCTGAGGTACTTGTGTATTTTTATCTTTTCGAGATATGTCGAGGCGTCCCCGTACTTGCACCATGGTACTGTAGTGTATTTCGGTTTTCGTGGAGGCTGTAATGCTCCCATATTGTATTGATTCCACGCCCCCCCCCCCAACATCGCTTGCCGAGTTACCAACTGCCTCAAACAGATTTTTCGAACCCCTTTTGAGTACGTCTTATGCTTTTGGAGTCACTTTGCTTTTTTTGGCAACCCCTGACACATGGGACCCGGTCCGACCATAGTGTTGTCAGTCTGGAAAATTGACTGTTGCGCGATTTCGAGCACTTTCGCTATGCATTTTTCCACGAGAATTCATCGTCTGCCTCGTCTCGCCCCTTCCCACACGCCCAACTCGCCATTCCAGGTTGCTAATCGCGCAAGAAACGCTGGATGGTGAAGATTACGCTTCGGGTGTAAGCGCGGTGATTTTCGATGGTCTCGGGGAGTCGTCGAGCATTGAAGTGACACTAAACGACGGCCTGGACGACGCGGGCTTTGCCGACGCCATCATCGGATTAACGTAAGAAACGGGTGCCGGGAGTAAATCACGGTGTGCGAAATTGGTGGAAGGCAGCGTCCTCCAGGAGGAAAGTTGGTGGGACGCAAACCTCGATACGTCGCAAAAAAACTGTCCACCAAATGGATCAAGTGGAGATGTTTTTCAACTCGGAAATATCCTATTTGCAAGTCTGGGGCTCACTTATTAGCCAGTACTTCGGAACCCCTTGGGAGCGAAGCCTCCAGCGGTGGGGTTTCCGATGAAACGGCTTCGAACGCCCCCCCGCCCCTTCTCCACCCCGTTGTCTCGCCGACAAAAGAGAGTACTGGGAGCTTTAAGGATGGTGTCGCACAACCTTAAACCTAAACTTGCCCAAGAATGACCATCCCTTTTACCGCCTGGCCCTCTTCCTTCCGTTCCCGTAACCGCACAGCTACACTGGATCGGATGTGAACTCCTCCCACACGTACAGCTACAACCTGACGGTGTGGGAGTTCGGCGACGACATCCCGAGCGAGAGCTCCTCCTCTTCTTCTTTCGGGAGCTCCTACACCAACCACACTATAGACTTTGCCGAAACTGATCTCGCGGCACCCCTCAACGTGACCTTCGTGAGCAGCGACGGCCTGGTCGAAGACGACACTTGGACGATCCTCATTTCCTCTTGCGGCGCTAACGCCTCGCTCCCCGCGGGTGCGTCGGCGACCCTGACGTCCGAACATGGGACCGCCGAGGTTAGGCAGCTGACTCTAGACCGGGGATACGAGGGGACTGTCCCCGGGTCTCACGAGGTGTACTTGGTCAACCAGCATTTCACCGTTCGCGCAGCAGGTCAGAGAAGTAGTTCGTCACGGTAAAATGAGGAGGTGTTCTCTGTGTTTCAGACTCGAGTATAGGATATTTAGCTTTCTCTCATCTGCCTTGCGACTTTTGGTCAGTACAACAATATTCAAGTTTGCAACACCATAATATTGTTTCGAAGGAGAATCTTCGGCGGCCGCAGCACAACTCGCGTATTTTTGTGAATGCCACTCTTGAAAATATTCTTTATAGAAAAGGTTTCCTCCCAACCTACGTTACACAGCGTTGTTATTGTTTTCTGTGCGCGCTTTACCACGCTCTAGGTACGGAGATGCAGTCTGTCACGGTTGCCAACACGGGTTCGTCGACCACTTGGACCTACGGCAGCCCGAGCTACAGTTTGAGCTGGAACGAGTCTGCATACACGGCGTGTGTGGCATATGATGCTGAGGACTGGGAGCTGGAGGTATGTACAGGAGATGATTACTTGTCACCAACTCAATCACAGTTCCTCTTGTCATTCATCTGCTTCTTCTGGCGAAGCTTTGCAGTACCTACGGGCTTCGCTTGCAGTTTCGGTACGCCCTCACGAGGTCCATTTTCATGTACCTAAAAGGCGTAAGCCTGTGTAGGCTTCAGGACGCACCTTGGGAGACGTCGTACCGACCCTTGCATCATGCCTCGGTTTCATTCAGCACTCGAGTGTTCGCGCACAGCCGCATACGTTCCCACATGATGCAAATGTGAAATTCAGGAGTTGTTGTTGGGCATAGTTGTACATCATGCACCTCCCGTCTCCTATTCCCTGAAACATGCAGGAGGAGCTGCTGTCCTCGCTCGGGTTGGACGTGACAATCACCCGAAGAGAGGACGCCACTTTCGCTCCGAACGGCTACATATACAACGTATACTTCGACGGCGAGAAACAGGTAAGAGTTTCCGCATCACTAGCTGTGCCGCTTAGAGTCGTGCTACATGTTTCTCAGGAACGCGACGGTTACATTGTACGAACTGATTCTCCGTCTCTAGAAGTGCATACACCAGTGCCTGGAGCACACATCACGATAAGTGAAACCAATCGCAACATCTGCAAACAGAGTGTCCTGCCCCCAACCCGCACTTCGCCGCCACCTGCTTCTATACATGATGTCCTACGCGTCCTGCTCCCGCTTGAAGGACGCAACAAATGTGCCCGACCCGTACACATCCGGGGGCCTGAACGTCACTTACGAGGGCTGCGTGCCATTTGATGCCGTTGCCGGGGAAAGCGTCACTCTGACTACAGTAACTCAAGGCACTACGGCGGGGGGCATCTCGTCTGCCGTGCAGCTTCCGCTGGGGGATGTCGACGACGCTTCGCTGGAGGGAAGGTGAGAATACTACCGAAATTGAGCTTGGAGTGTTGGGTCTCTCAATTCCAAAATGAAATGCAAAGCATGACGTTGCTCGCAAAGTAGCGTAGTACTCTTTGCAGGCAGTCAAGCTAGATGCATACGTTCTATCTACCCTGCCTCCACGCTGCCAAATATTGATCGCTATTGATTGGGAAGTATTGGTTGACGTCCATCCTTCATGTACCGTTACCCGATCAGCGTATACTAACGCAGCAGGCTGTATCAAGCCGATCACCGCGCGAACTCTATGCTGGAGGTATCGATGACATGTGCTTCGCTTTTTCAAACACCATGAACAGCGTAGACCGACGGCCTTCGAGGTATTGAAAAATGGCATCGCAGGCCATTTTCTACCAATAGTCGCCACCACCCTACCGCTGTCAGTCTGCTACTGCCGATGCAACGCGGTCCCACGCACTAAATTCTACCGGAACTCAGCGCAATGCAATGTGTTACCACACAACCACCCCACGCAGGTTCCTTGGTGGAGATGGCACCGCACAGATGGCCTTGTACCGTGTCTCGGGACACTTGTACACGGTGTCTTTCGACTCCAACCTGGGAGACCTTGTGGTAAGACCTTCGAACGCATTGACGAAAAACGCAATAGTCCCAGGAACGAATAGCGAGTGTGAGTGTTTGTGGATGACAACAACTGATCGCGGTCGCGCCAATGTCCACACCACCCAAAACGCGGTCAGGTACTCTCGCCTGTCGTACAAAATGGATTTTGAGGCTTTTCAAATCGTTGTCTGCGAATTTAGGGACACGATGGGTCGCAAAACAGCGTGGCATACAGGCTTTCAGGGTTTTGCAGCGACTCTTCTCCTACCTCGCTTCCACTCGTTCCCTTTCAAATACTAGGATCTCACCGGGGATTCCTCCTCTCTGAACGGAGATGGCGCCAGCGTGGAAACGTTCCCTTCGGAGATCGTGAAAGGAGTGCTCCCGTTAAGGCACGCCGCCACAGACGCACAGACGGGCGTTCCTTACTTCTTGCGCATGGCCGCCTCGAACTCCCTCGGCTTCGGGGAGTACGGGGACAACATTGCGATCGCCAAGGCGGCGAAGGCTCCCGACGCTCCCGGAAACCTATCCGCTGGGGTGGCGCTGCACGTCGATGAGGTCTGCACCTGCCTTCTTTGCTCGATGACCTAATTTTTGTCGCTATATCGTTAAATGGAACATACTTTAGTGTCGTTGTGCGGCCGTGTGAACCAGAAATGCGAATAGGGGGAGTCAATCGCGTGCAACCGATTTCGTCTCCACCAGCTGGAACTATCACGCAAAAAATATAATGTACCACACTCCAAGTTGCACTTTCACGGCGTAGACGACTTAACCCTTCCTCACGCCGTACACTCTCCGCCCTTCCGCGAACACCACTTTCAGGTGCAAACCGTGACTGTGGCGGCCACCCACCAAGACGAGGTGCAGATCATCACCACGGCCGCTCCGGTGATCGTCGGTGTTCAATTGATGACGACATCGGTCGATGAGGGTGACACCGTCGAGGGAAACTTCGCCCTCCAGTTCCCCGAGATTCAGACGGTTTCACTATTCTCCTCAGCGGAGGTGACGAGCGGGAACTTCAGCCTGACCTACACGGCCTTATGGGCAAACTACAGCACCGGCGTCTTGAGCTCCGACTCGGAGACCACCGCTTGTATCGATTGGAACGCTGGGGCGGAGGACGTGAGTTGGTACTTATGTTTGTGTTTATGTTGTTGTTGTTGTTGTTGTTGTTGTTGTTGTTGTTGTTGTTGTTGTTGTTGTTGTTGTTGTTGTTGTTGTTGTTGTTGTTGTTGTTGTTGTTGTTGTTGCTGCTGTTGTGGTTGCTGTTGCGAGTCGGTGTAGATTCGAAATACCATTGAACCCTGTAGGTAGACGGTTAACGTGCCCCGTGCTAGAATCGTCGGCGACAAGGGCAAACTTTGTCGCTCAGAAATCAAAGTACCCCATTTCGCTTGAGCAACGCAGGTGGAAGCGGCTCTAGAGGGTTTGCTGCTGGTCGACGATGTCACTGTCGTCCGTTCAGGCGATGCGTCCAACGCATACGACTTTGGGTAAGTCAAGCTTGTCCCGAGGTGGCACAATCCCAACTGAAATGTTTCACCAAGTTCAACAGTCGAGGGTAGCCCTTGCTGCATTGATTTTGCCGGAGCGCCACTGCGTTGGCGGTTGTGACCCAACGTTCTGGCGTTTGGTTCTGGAGCGTGCTTGGTTTCATCCGATGTCCCACAGGCTTGGATATCACACTTGTGGTGTCTCGTTTAGCGGGGAAATGCCGACCGCCATTTTCACCACACTACATTGGCGTAAGCAGGTGTACTTCCATAGCCTCGATCCCGCAATACCCGCACACCTTTGGAGCTTGTTCACCGGGCGAAGAAGCCCGGACGATCTTCTTGTGTCGCACGAACGTTTGCGTGGCGTTTCGCCCATAGCGTATCATTACCCCCCAATTCCTTCCGCCCCCCGCATGAACATACATTGCCGCTTTCGCATTTTGCAGGTATACTCACGAGATCGCCTTTGTCGGGCGGGACGTTATCGGAAACGTCCAGCCGCTTACAGCGGACACAGACTCCTGCGCCGACTTTGTTGTCTCTGGCGGGGGTCAGTCGGGCATGACCGTTGCCACGAGAAATGAGGGAGACGCCCTTGGAACTGGAACTACGGCCCAAAGCGTCAAGGTGACTCTACACTTGTAGCGTTTGCTTGTTTGTGCTCTGCTTCAAGGTTGGTATGGTAGGCCAGTTATACTTTGCCCGGCTCATGGGTACCTCGACAGGTGCCAGGACGCCCAAACCATGCCGCAAGCGTCAACAAGAGTTCGTTTCTCTGCAGGACACCCTTATGGTCGCCGCATCCGTGCTAAGAGCGCTCTTGTCAGTCCTTCAAGGTATGACTCTGAACGTAGTACTTGAACAGACCCGTGCATAGCGTGCAGAAGAAGGGTTCCTGGAAACACAATGGTCCTCGTCATGTGACCTTCAATGCGATAGGTGTTTTCGGCTGTAAAACTGACTGAGGAAGTTGGAGCTTACCGTCTGGCGGTGAACTTCAGCTCTTCCCAGCACTCTACCAAGTGCCTTTACTGGGATTCCACGGCAGAGGAGGTTGAAACAGCTCTGGAGCTGCTTGACAACGTGGACTCCGTCCATGTTGAGAGAGACGGAAGCGGTGGAGAGGATGACGAGTGAGTGGCCAATGCTTGGACCTCCTTTGCTCTCGACGAAATTGTCGGGTATAATATATGAAATATCTTGCCTGCTTTGAATACTTTTCATTCTGAGAGCCATCCGCGCCGTCGATTAGTGCTTGCCGGACGCTTGGATGGTCATATTATGCTCCATGACGTTACCGTATGGGGTCTAAGTCAGTTATCCCATCAGACTTCCTAGTTATCACACGCTTGTCTGCTTCACATCACCCTTTCCGTCTACGCCAATCCACCCGATGGATCCCACCACCAATGCCTTTGACCGCTGCCCCTTTCACTCTACCAGCTGGGGATACACTTATAGCGTTTTTTTCGACGGAAACGCCTTCTACGGGGTCGGAGAGTCCGTGTCCCCGGTGTCCCGCCCTTCTCTCTCCGTCAACGCCTCCTCCGGGTGTTCCCCGTTCTCCACTACCATCGACGGAGTTTTGACCGCCCTCGACAACGACACCACCTGGAACGGAGTAACCTCCTCCGACATAGTCAGCGGCGGTTTCACCCTTAGCCAATCAGCTACCGCGGATGACGTGACCGACGGGCTATCGGTTCTGCCGTCAGTGACCTCTCCGATGCTGACGTACCGTGGCGTCGCGGATGACCAGCAAGGGAATTCTTGGACCATGTCGTTCTCGAGCAACGGCGGGGCGGTGCCCGAGCTGGCGTGCGTCACGGATGCCGGCTTCGTCGGCTACTGCGAGGTGAGTAGTAATGGCTGGTTCGAAAGGCTTGTGAGATGTGCAGACTTGTCATCGCTTCAATGGTAAGTGTAGACGCCTCTTTCGTGGGTCTGTGGAGCTTACTGATTTGGCATTTGTTGAAGGGGTTTGAAGCACCGCCTCTCGTCTGAACGTGTCGTCCGTCGTCATGCCTGCCCGTTTCGCAGGTAACCACGCTCGTAGAGGGCAACGAGGTTGGCGGCAGCTTCTACCTCAACGACACGGACGCCATCGCGTCAGACGCCACAGCCTCGGAGATGGAACTACTGTTGGAGGCCACCGACCTGGGGGGCGTGAACGTTACACGCTCTGATTCCGATGGCCGCGGCGGGTACTCCTGGTCCGTCACGTTCCACGACTACGTGGGAGATGTGCCCGCGCTTGTGGCGGACAACGACCTCACGGGCTACTCCGCCTCCATCACTGTTGTCGAGGTACGGGTGTGTATTCCACAATATAAGTGGACGGAGAGGGGGGCAAAAAGGAGTCAGGGTAGGTTGTTCAACATCTGTCTGGGCGGGCTGGAGTACCGTTGAACCCTGCACGCGCAAACAGTCGGCATAGAGCACGTTGGGTTAGGGCGGAGAAACGGTTGGAGCTTGATTGATTCCTGTAGGCTTGGTGGAGGGGGCGACGGGTAGGGACCAATCAGCCTTGCTTACCCTCTTGTTCTGTTCCGTTTGTGTCTTGACCACCCTGCTGTTTGTCTACATGGGAACTGCCGTTCAAGATTTTATGTATAAACGTGATACGTGGAAGTTCACAACTTAAGTTTAAACCAATTGCGAACAAACGATACCATGACCACTAGGAGGTGAAAGGAAACGAGCTGGGAGGGACGTTCGCCCTAGAGCTGGAAGGGTATGTGACTGAGGACATGGCGCACGATGTCACAGCCGAGGTGCTCCAGGGAGCCTTGGAAGACCTCGGGAACATTGGAACTGTCGACGTAACCAGGTGACCGTACCTCAAGGCCACACACTACAGTCTATATATATTCACTTTCTACGAACCGGCGCCTCACCGACGACGACTAATGCTGCCGCTCGTGAACGGCGAACCAATGGTCGTATCAATAAAGCGTCACTGTTTTTTGTGGCGTATACTGTGGAACTTCGCGGAGGGAAACGGACAGTATTAGAAGTCATTCGAGGGAAGCACTGTCAATATTGATGACTCAAGGGCTTGTCCCAAACTGTTACGAAGAAAGGATACACTCCTGTCAAGTACATATACGGTAAACTGTATACATGCACACCCATGCCACTCAATATTCATTAAACTTAGACGACTACTTCACAGTGCCGGCTTGAACTCTGAATTCCAAGCGGAAACATGTGCCATTGGCACTTACCCCTTGTGTTGTGTGTCCACTCGCATGTTGCACAGGACCGAGATAGGGTCCGAAGGTGGAGCGGAGTACCGCATCACCTTCGAGGATGTCACCAACTCTGGCGATGTCGCTCTCCTTGTCGCACACTCAGAAGGTCTAACGGGCGCTGGTTCCACGGTGGTCGCTAGGGAGGTAGGGTTTCACGAGCAACTGCAAATGGGGGGGGATAGACGGGTCGAACAACCCCAGGGTAAAACCTCAGTGCATCCATCGCTGCAGCGGTGAACACCTATCTTGTACGACTTAAATAGGTTGGTTGCAGTAACATCATGGGTCGTCATCACAGGATGACAGCGACACGAAGCTATCCGGCTGCAGTCGCCAATGCGGCGGGTACTGTGGGTCATGATTGATGTTGCATACGTCAAGACACACACCGTCCGAAAGTGGAATGGGTTCGCTCCGGGAGTCAGCGAGGTACGTATTTCTGTTGAGATCGCAGAGAGCAGGTCGAGAAACTTGTTTCGTCCGTCGAATTCAATGCATCGCCGATGCTGACTTGGTGTTGAGGATTAGATGGAGCCTTCTGGGCAATGAAAGAGCCAAAGTTACGGCTGAATCCTCCCCTACTGCCTGTCCTACAATGTTCCCCAGGTTGTGAAGGGCAGCGAGGCCACCGGAAGCGCGGTTCGGGTGTCTTTCTCGGCCCCGCAGCACTGCAGCACGTCGCAGGTGTCGCTGGACACGTGCGGGGACCCGGTGGCGTACTATGTGGTGGAGTGGGACACCTCTGACGGTTTCAACTCCGCCGCGCGTTCAAGCCTCGTTGTGGACGGAGAAGACCTTCTTCTGCAACAGCAGGTATGGCGCAAGTCGTTTGCCTTTTGTCTTGGTATGGTTTGTGCGTTTCGCTTCGCTGACGGCGATTGGTCACAGTACTGAAAAGATAGGGGGCTGGCTTCCTGTGTAGGCGTTCAAAGGAAACTCGACACCGTGTTCAGGATATCCGAACGTTTTGTGTCCATCGGTGAGCCTACCTGTGACCGAAACGGACGTGCAAACACGGTCACTCAACCGTATGTACTGCAGGTATCGTCAAGAAGACAGTGTGCAGCACGACCGGCTGCTCTTCACGTTTCCAATGGCTGGTATCTTGCGGAGGTTTCGTTCAGCCGTCCCGCGTCATGCTCCCACAACATCATCTTTGTCGCACCCTGGCCCCTTCTTTGTCAACCGTGCCCTGGAATATCACGCCTTTTCAGCTCCGCCGTACAAGTACTGTGATCGATGAATCATCACCCAATCAATCTGTCCAATCCCCACACCTCATGGATCAAACAGCGTGTCACGACGATGGCGTCGTCGGCCATGTCGGGCACCTTCCAGCTGTCCTTCCACGGAGAAAATACCCCTCTAATTAACGCCGCCGCGTCGGCGGAGGAGGTCCGGTCTGCGGTTGAAGCGCTTGACAGCATCACCACCGCTGCGGTATGTGTTGGCATTGACCGGCAACAATCATGTCCGTAGGTCTGCCCTTGTCGTTGTCGTTGGTTGTGGGCTTGACCACATCACCATCGTCGCGGTATGTGAATGCGTTAGCCGGCAACAACAGTAGTTCTGCCATCGTGGTTGTCGGCGTTGCAAAACTCTTCGTTTCAGAATTCCGCAAGATAGTACAGAGCGACGAGGGGATCAGGCCAAAGCAAACGCAAGCGGTGTAGCAAGTGTTGTTTCTTGTCTGGAATGGTTCAACCCCGAACAAATGTACCCCGCTATTCAATAGGTGTATCGCGACTTTACGGTAACTCCCGTCGGCTGGGAAAGTGGTGACAACGCCGGCGAAATTCTTTTGGACCTTACCTTTGGAAGCCAGAGCGTGCAGTGCAGCTCGGACAACGCGGACCTAGCTTCTTGCGACTACAGCTTCTCGGCGTGCCAGCTCGTGAGACTGGAAAACGTGTGGTACAGGGTCAAGGCATCGTTTGAGCCCGACGGTAGCGGACAGGTGACTGAACACAGAGCTCGTAAGAAGATGTACAGTCTATGAGATTGCGCTTGGAGGCACGTGGTACAGGTTCGGCGATATTCGAAACCAACCGTGGCGGATAGGTGAACAGTGACAGTGCTATGTACATGGTAGTGTTTACTCCTACAGTAGTTTCTTTTTCCTTCACAGTGAGTGCGTTCAACCGTCGGAGGATATTCAATAGACTTGTACCGTAATGGCAGGGCGCAGCAGAAAGCTAAGACGGGCAATGAGTAAATCAATTACCGGACCTTCGCTCTGCGTTGCGCACGGGTTAGCCCAAGCCCTTAACGTCTCGGCATCTCCACGCTACCACCGCACCCGGGCACTCCATCCCCGAACCTTGCTATCCCCACCCCTATTGTCTTGCCAGATTCCGTTGGCTGAGGAACACGACTGTTCAGTGACTGCATCTTACAAAGGGGACACCAAGACGGGATCCACGCCGTACGCCTGGGCCTACGGATACGAATGGACCATTCACATCCTCAGGTAGGCTACATTTGCAATCGACAGCCAACCTGCTCCGCTACCCCCTGATATATTTCGTTTGTATCTGTCGGTTGTATTACCGATATTGCAGAGTATTTAGTCATCCACAACCACAAATATCCATTCAAAAGCTTCGACCTTCGTAGAAATCGCACTCGACATCTCTGATGCAGGAATCCGACCCAATTTTGAGCGGACTCAGGGCATTGCCCACCAATTTTGGATAATACTGCGTTTTGGGTGTCGAGACTATCTGAGATCAGACGTATGGCAACGGTGCAGTCGAGAGAACCGTTACTATGTTCCCGATCCTTTGGAGAGCCGCCTTTCGAAACTAATCAATCACCATGCCACTGCTGTGGATCATTCCCACTCAGCGAATAGTCTTCCGTCCACGGTGGCGTGTAGCTTGCCAGAAAATAGTTGTAGCGTGACCCAATCCTACGGTCTGTGACCAGCATGAGCACGCATACCCCGGAATAATGTCAAAACCCCGACGAAACCAATCTCGTTCTTTGTCTGTACCTTGCCCTCTCCCTGACCACCGCTCGGCCGATCAATTCTTACCGATGGACAATCAACTGGACTCCTCGGCCAACCCAACCAGCTACGTGGGGACTCTGGAACCGATCTCGAGCCCGATGCACTCTCTGTATCCTGCCGACTCAGCCGTCCTGCACATCAGCGGCTCTGATTGCGAGAGCTGCCTCTACATCCCCAACGACGGTTCCTCCCTGACGATGGGCACCCCGTACTACGTTAGAGTCGTGGCCTACAATGCGCTGGGGGCGTCCGAGATCGGCAGCGGGTCGGACGATAGTTCCCTGGTCGTTGGGGTGGTACCGAACCAGGTATTGTAGAGTGCGGGACAACAAGCATGGAGATCATTCTGTCGAGCAAATCGGGGTCCGGGGATACGGTGCAATGGACGACATAGAGCGACCTCGGCAGCGTTCGCTCCTCGCATACGTTTACCTCTAGGCCGTTGCTGGACGAAATAGGATCTCTTAGCGGACAGCATGCTCTGAGACCATTCGCAAATTCTTATCGTTATGAATTGCTGCGGGTTTGATCTTCTCCAGGTCTCACACTCACGCGGACCGACCATTGACCCGGACCATTGTATGCGCGACTGCTCCTCTTCGTTTCGCCAACCACTCTTCCTCGTCTGAATGGTGCTACAATAATGGCCGAATCGAGCAGATCCCCTTCGCGCCGACGGACGTGTCGGTCACAGTGGTGTCTGGCTCGAGGCTGGAGGTGTTCTTCTGCGACCCACTCATTTCCAGCGGCGATATCCGTGGCTTCCTGGTGCAGTGGGACACCGACGAGGGTTTCGAGCAGGCTATTGGGGGAGGGAACACCGGTGGGTTACCCGTTTCATCCACTCGGCATCATCGCGTCGTGGGTGATCGTGTAACACGTAGAAGAACGTAGCTTGTGGTGTGAAGTGCATGGTGGTATGGTGAGTTTGATGACCAGGCCGCCCAAGGCGGGGACTCCCCGCTCGTCGCCTATGCCACAGCTGGTGTTTGGCGGAAAGACGCCCTGTACCAGCAATGTCGGTTGGCAGGTTGTTGCGCAAGTCTAAGTTGATCTGCTGTAGCTATCGCAGGGTAAAGTTTGAACTGATGCAACCATGTTGACCATTCATGTACATTCCCGGGAAGCACGCAATATTAGCGGGAACAGCCGTGAAGCGTTAGGGCTGGCGCGGCGGGTTGGCATGCCGCGTTGGACCGAAAAACGTTGGTCTACCCTCAATTGATCAAGATGAAAAACCATCACCTTTGGATGGTAGAAATGCAGTGGCACTGAACACGCTGATTTTTACGAATATTGTATCTCCTTGGGGGATTAACGTGTTGGTGTGTTGGTTCCAGGCGCTGGGTGTTCCGAAATCGGGTTCGGTTCTTGTGTCGTGAGCGATGCCGCCGTGGCCGGACAGTGCCCGCACTCGCTGCTTCTCACGGGACTGTCAGATGGCGAGGTGAGGGCACAACGACTCCGAACAAATGTTCCGCTCGTTTGCTTCGTCAGCAGAACCTCGCTCCAATATCATGTGCATGCTCAATACGTCGTAGAAGTCACGGATATCAAGGCATGCTCGAATACATCCACCACAAGTCGGATTGTGCCTTCTTTCGGCCAGCCGGACTCATATATTTTGTCGAGTATGGTTGTGGTAGAACTGCATACATGTCAAAGAGTATGACGCAAGGCAAGACATGGCCTTGTTGACGCGGAAAACCATGTTTCGTCCTAAGCACGTACCCCTTTTGTGTGTTTTCTTCTCTTATCCGGGCGACCAGACGTACTACATTCGTGTTGCGGCGCTTGGAGACGTTGCTGCTCAACCGGTCAACCCAACGGGCGACCCGCCGGACAACACCAACTGGTCGGGGATCATCGAGGCCGTGCCGGTGGACCAGCCGCCCAGCTCGCCAGGTCCCGTGTCCATTTACGTGCTGAATGGATCTACGCTGCAGGTGCACATGGAGGTGCCGGCTGAGAGCGGCGGGTCTGACATCACCCAGTACATCATCGACGTCGACAGCGTGTCAACCTTCTCGTCTACCGGTCTGGTCACCTACACCGTCGAGGCCGATGAGGTGACTGGAAAGGGACGATCAATCCGGCCAAAACCGTACCCTATCCCCTTGGTTTGTTGGACCTCGCAGTACGTCATGGTGGGGGAGAATGTACGCAGGCCAATGTTGAAACCCTTCTATGGCACCTGACAACGGGATAGCCTGACCAATTGAAGGGAAGGTCGCACATGCTTTCGACTCGTCATGGACATGCGTTTCTGTTTGTCTCAGCTTGGAACCCTTTACACACAACCACCACGCAGGGTGTCGATTAGCGACAGACGTCATTTCAATTCCGAACCCCCCAACTTTGAAACCAAACATGCAAGCATCCATCTCGCTATCGCCTTCAAATTCTCAGCTGGGAACTCTGTACAATGGAGGAAGCGCGGTGTACGACATCCCCGACCTCGACGCGGGAACGCTGTACTACGTGCGTGTCTCCGCTGTCTCAGCGGTGGGTACATCGGACAGCACCCTCGCCGCCAACAACCCCTTGGCGCCAAGCCAGCACCCCGATGCTCCGGCCGAGATGGCGGCGGAGGCTGTCATTGCAGGCGGGGTATCAATCAATTCAGAGATAAAGGTGAGCGAATGAAAATTAGGTATTGAGTGTAAGTTGGTAGTATTCGTTGCAACACTGTAACGTTTGGGGTGTTCAGCTAGGAGTGACCTGCGAGGTAGAAGGATGGTATATAACGATGTGATAGTGCGGACGAGAAAGTAGAAGTTGTCAGTTGGTAAGAAACAAGGCATTCGCCACCAAAACCGGCGGGAAAGGTACTATAATGAAAAGCTGAAGCACCACCCTGTTTACGGTTCGAATGACTGGTGGTGGATACTCTCACAAGGGCACCTGATCCTTCGAGAGGAACACCAAAATAGCTACTACATGTAGATTCGTTGCAACTGACAAGATTACTGTTCTGGTTCCAGGTGGCATGGGCGTCACCGGAGGAGAATGGAGGCTCTCAAGTTCTCGGGTACCGGGTGGAGTGGTTCGAAACTGAAACCGTCAGAAACGAAATTCAGGCGGTTAGGATGACCTGGGAGTCCGGGGACGAGCCATTAGAGACGTTCCGGTGAGAGGCCGAGAGCGAAAAAAAAAAGCAAACACCCGAGCTTGCAACGAAAGCTACACTCCGAGGGGCTGTTTTTTTTTTGTTGCTGTTGTCAGTGTTCTGGTGATTAGGGAGACCGAAAACAACGGCGACGGCAACCGAAACAGACCGACGAGCAGAGGAAATTGACGGTGATTTATTTTCGAGACACATCAAAATGCACCAACGTCTCAATTTTGATGTGATTGTAGTAAGCTTCGCCTTGGTCGTAACAGCTTGCTTGTTCATTTGGCTCATTGATGCTTCATCTCCGCCTCGATCAATGATTGAACTGTTCCGCCTTCTTCCGTGCTTGACTATCTCGTTCGGAGTGTGTGTACACGGAGTCTTCCCGTTATGATTCTTACCTGTCGTTTTCGGCCCTTGCGTGGTTGCTCTAATCGCCTGGTTCCATGCATACACGCGAAAGGCTGTGGTTCAAGGGGTCTTCGACGAACGTGGGGATGGACCCAGACGTTTCCTACGTGAGCATGCGAGACGCTCTCATGAACATTAACGAAGGGAGCGGCGGCTTCCCAGTGGGTCATCTTGATGTCGAGGTGCGACCGAGCAGAACGATTTCAGTTGAGCTAGCTTCGGATAGCAATATAGCACCCACCACGTGTAGTCCTGTGGTGTAATGAAATGTGAAAAACGTTCAGAAATCGGTGTCCGAAACCAAGATCAGCAGAGCCATGTTTGCAAGTACTCTGGCGTTCTATCCATACTAACGTTGGTGTATTGAACCCTCGACAATTATTCTGGCTTGCCTGCAAGTGCATGAATACTGCGTTATAGACCGAAGCCCACGTGTATCCAAACCGGCATTGCTCGCCCGTGGAAGAACACCACAATTGCCGAAAAATAATGGAGCACGGAAAGTGGGAAAAATTCTGTTACTGGATTGGACGAAGGGCGTGACGCAATGAGTTTGTAGTTTGATGACCGTTGGTTCTCTATTGTGCTTGTACGGTTATTAAAGGCAAGAGTATTTGTGGCGATAATATTACATGGATTGTCGTATGCATACCCCTGTATTATCTCTGTACGTTCTACACCTTGGACGGGTTCAAACCTGACACTGCATCTGCCCCCTCTGCAACTTTGAACGCGGTGTGACGTGTCAGCGCTCCGCTATCAACGGCGACGAAGGGTACGTATACACGATCGTCTTTGAGGACACCGAAACCAATGCCGGAGACCAGCCGATGCTGACCCCGTCCGACACTTTCACGGGGACCGGTTCGATCAGGGTGAGGCAACATCGAAATGTCGTCAGTTGTCTCCAACCATCGATGCACGAACACATGGAGACATGAAAACATGAAAACGTGTTGTTCAAGCTGTTCACGTGGGGAAAAGTCAGCGATCAACACACGTTTTTCTGGCTGCATCCTAATGAGCATGACGGTCGTGGACATGTTTCACCTGACCCTCCCCTCACCCCTGGCGCTCGCTGGACATTGTTCACGGCGCCATCGGCTCTGTGAGACATCTAGGTTTGACTTGGATAGTGTGACTACAAGTACAGTCTATGCATAGGCTCACTAAGTTTTTTTAACACACGACGCGTGGCAAACAACCACTAGAGCAGGAACGTGGGAGAGCAGTAGCAGTAGGACGGTTTAGTCCCATGGTTGCATGATGTGGTAAATGCATTTGGATTTTCCCGGCCCGCCCTCGCCACGTAGACCTGGAGTGCTAGCACCGTTTGGCCGGAAACGCTTACTACCACTTGGTGAAACCGCCAGGTGTACGAAGTGACATCTGGTATCCGAGCAGGCGGCGCGGCAGAAGTGCAGGTGGTCTCCGTGACGGGAACCGGTACCGGATCTCGGAATGCGACCAACCCGGACGAGGCTGTTGTTCGTGGCTACTGGAGGGCCCAATTCGCCGCTTCTAACTTCAGGTAAAACCTGTTCTCAATGCTATGTTAGACTCCACCGGCCATTCTTCGAATAACTATCCAGTGCCTCATGTGGTGTCCTACCTGTGCCAGACAGGTCCACAATAGACTAACGAATGTCTATCTACCGGAACACAATAACACCATGCCGACCGCCATTGACGCTTGAAGCACGAACATGTTCAGATTCACCCCAACCACCAACCCCAACTTCCATCGTACCCCTGACGCTGTTGACCGCTGGCAGCACGTATGTCTCTGCCGGAGCATCTGCTGGGGAGGTGGAGGCGGCCTTGGAAGGGCTGGAGCCGACTGGAGACCTAACGGTAACGCGAAGCGAAAACAACGACAACGGCTACGACTGGCAGGTGACAAAGCTGCAGAGCATGCCATCGGCTAATCTAGTCTTCTGTTTGATGGAGGTCATGAAGCGAATATGCAAGCGAGGTTTGATGCGTCCTGCTCGTCTCGCTTCCTATGTCAACTTAAGTCTCGCTACATGTTGGATGTTCTGTATCCCCTCCGTATCCCCTCCTCTCCCCACCCCTACGCGTGGAGCCCTAAAGGGGGACCAGGACTCATTCTACAAGACCGATCGATATTCTATAAATCCGGGTACACACAAGCGGAAACACCATGCGGTATACAGCAACAAGATATTGACACCCTGCAACCCGTCGCTGTTGACTGCTGTAGATCACGTTCGAAACCCCGGTCGGAGACCGAGGTGCCCTTGTGCTAGACGACGCGTATCTATGGAGCACGAACGACGATGCGGTGGCCTCGATATTGGACGGAGACAACGAGGTGGAGGAGTCAACAGGCGCCCTCATCTGCAGCGACTGCCAGGTAACACGACGTTCACACTCTTGGCGGTGACGTGCCGTGCGCTTTTTTTGTGATCGACTTCGCCAGGCTCGCCTGATGTCTTGCTGGAGGTTTGATTTGACTAGTGGTGACATCGTCAAGGGGTGGGGTCGACCGGATTCCACCTACACCAACTACCCCTATCCCTAAGTAGAGCAATTTGTGCAAGGACTACATCGCGTCTCGAACACAGGGAGACCGTTACAAGAATACTAGCATGTCCGTAAGATCTATTTGAGACTATTTCTGGTTCTCCCGCCGTAAGCGATGGCGCCGCCCTGGAAACACCGCGTTGGCTGAAATGTCTCTGAGGCGGTTTGCAGTAATCACGGAGTCTGTCGGATATCAACAACGTGTTGTTGAGGTTAAGAATGCCTCACCCACCGCCAACGCGATCATGTTTTTCTGCCGATGGTCAGGTTGGCGAAGCCCCGGTGGGCTACGGTTACGCGGACCTAACCCAGGACGAACTGACTTACACAATCTCCGGGCTTAGCCCTGGGGTTTCCTACACCGTGCATGTCTCAGCCTTCAACCGCCACGGCCAGGGCGCGAGAGCCGTGGTAGACTCTGGGGTGGTCACCCCACCGCTGGCGGTTCCGTCCGCTCCCACGAATGTCAGTGTCGCCACGAAGGGTTACAACGCTACGGAGGGAGATGGCATCGGGGATTCCCAGGTACGGTGTCCGGGAGCATTCTTGTCTCTGCTGCATGTTAGGCCTGGTTGTTTTCTCCTGGTTATGTTTCCTTGTGGTTTTGAATAGTGGCGGGTGCATGTTTCACCCTGCCTGATGTGTTTGTTGAACATTTGGCTCCTCTCGTGTCGCCGCACCTCGGCCTTACGACCGTGTGAGTTGGAGACGCTGGCAAAGATTCGCAAACGATCACTTACAGTTGTGTAGGAGTCAGTCTCCCGTTCAATCCGCTACGGTGTGTCAGTTCCAGGTTCGTCCGTTTGGGTTCCAAGGCGGTTTCCATTCTTGCCTGGCAACGAACTAAGCCACCCCACACCCTTTGACCAACCATCCCCACCAATCGTGTTGCCCTTTAGCGGCTGCTGGTGACGTACTCCCCCCCTGCATCCAACGGGGGCGAGGAGATAACATCCTACTGGGTGGAGCTAGACCCAACACCGACGTTCGACGACCCCATCACGGAGGCGTTCCGGTGCCCTAACTCTCCGGACTACGCCACCTGGGTAGTGGAGACCTTTTCGAACGCCTCCATTTTCGAAGGGTGAGGAGACTAGCTTGGAGTAGAGCTTGCGATCAGTACACTAGCTCTCTTGATGCTGACAATGAACCTATAATAGTAGCTTCCGTGTTTGGCGCGTGCGTGCAGTACGAACCCCGCAACTGACCGCAGGGCTCCAACACCAATGCCTTTGTCAACTCTTTGATTTCTAAATCGGATGCCCCCAATAACCCTATTTCCCCCCTCTCTACGTTCCCGATACAGGTACTTCGAGTTGGCGCTCACCCGATCGGGATATGAGCTAGTGACAAACCCTATCCCCTTCGACGCGGTTGCCCTCGGCTCGGACGAAACGCCGGCGGCGTCAACGACGGACTCCCTGGTCACGTGCGAGAACGACGCGGGCAATAACGACGACGAATGTCCGGACAGCCGTTTGCAGAAGTCGGGCTCCATGCAGATGAAGGTATTCGTAAGCCAAGCAAGGGCAAATCGTTAACAATTCAAGCACTAAGCGGCGACCTGCTTTGCTTTGGCGACCTCCTCACATCGTACATCCAAAAGTACTGAAACCAAACGAAGACTATTTCATAGTACCTTGAACATCAGATCGAACGTTGGCGACGAACATATGCTGAAGAGCGCCCCGCCAACATGAACCAACTTGTACCCACTACGAAGATGGACTACTTGGACACGGTGACCGAAGGCGTGCAAGTTAGCCGCCAGGAGCTTGGATCAGGGCAGTACCGCTGGACTGTCACATTCTTGGACGAGGGAGACGACTTCGAGCTGGAGGATGTCGTGTCGAGGAACTACCTCAACACCACCACCGGAGATGCGACGGAGATCACAACAACCAAGGTACATGGGTGCTCTGGCGACCTAGTACTTGAATATGATTCGAATGGGTTCGTTTACGTTCAAATGCACCTCAGATACTTATTGGAAATGTCTCGGAACTGGGAAATTCGATACAGGATACCGTCTTGAAGCGGAGGATTGACATGTAGGGCGTGTTGGCTCGTGGCGTCTACCAGCATCGTGTCGATAACTCCTCCATACACCGCTTCATTCCACAACAGTTGGCTTTACGCCTCAAACCGTATCGTCCGTTTTTAAGAAAGATTGCAACAAGGACAACATTTGAAGGGCGCACGGTGATCTAGATATCAAGCGCCCGGAAAATGTGACATGATACACTCGAACGGACGGCCTGCCTCACTCGAGACTGTTCCGTGCAAACCTTTCTCGGTGGGTATTCCAGCTCAAGACCGGAGTTGTCCAGAGCGATTGCAGCGGGGAGATGGTCGTTCCTACCGAAGGTGGCCTCGTCAAGGGGCAAGCGTACTACGCTCGCGTCTTCGCCTACAGTCCTGTCGGCTTCAGCCAGGGCCAGGTGGGTAGTATGTGTGTACAATCGACGGTGGTTGTGGTGGTGATGGAGCTGCTCCGTTGATGTACGCTGGAAGCTACTGTAAAAGAGCCCAGCTGATCACCGCTACTCTCCGTCCAGTATCCGAATATTTTTCTTGTTGTTGGACTATCGTCCCCATCCCTACATACCCCCCCCAAACAGGTGGCAACCGACCCTGCGAAGCCAACAACTGTGCCCGGCCGGCCAACGTCAGTTTCGGTGGAGGTTTACGACGCCCAGTCTTTGAAAGTAGTTTTCTCTCCTCCTGCGGACGATGGCGGAGACACAGGTATGTATGCATACGGTGGGGCAGCACGATCCCTCTCTGATGGCCGTGACATTTTCGTCGGCAACGTACATCGCGTTATTTCTGGTTGTGTTCATCTCACCAATGCAGCTATCTACCTCTTACCCGTTTCTCGCACAGCTTGCGGTGCCGGGTGGACTGTTCGTGTGGGCTTCTCTCTATCTTCTCGTGTCGCTCGCCAAGCAATAAACTCCCATGCCTACCGGCGTATCTCGCAGTCAATCACAGAGATATGTTCAACGTCCACCATCGCCAAGGTCGAGATCTTATCTGAATCCTTGTTTTCTTGGTAACGCTTCTTCATTTGAGGTAGCTCGGCCGCACATGTTGTTCTTGCAATACCTTTGGGGAAGCAGAGATCATAGGCCTACAACTGAAGATAAAGGGTCAGAGCAGCATCTAATGTGTAGACAACAGCAACAACCCGAATATTGGCCGTGGCTTCCAACAAACGTCACCGACTTTTTGCGATTTCGCCGGCACGTGTGATCTACACCCCACCAGCGATGAGTTTGTTCCCTTGAGGTGTGATGCAGCAACCTCAACCCACACCTCAAGGCTATGACGTCCATGACGCAAACATATGGCAGCGTTATTGTTAGCGCAAAACGACGTTCGTTCATGAAGCAAACACGTGGCAGATCGGTTTGCTACAGTGCTCAAACTATTCGGCCCGCATGTTCGTCGCTCGCCATGCAGTGGTGGCGTACTTGGTGGAGTGGGCACTGGACTCCACCTTCTCGGACTCGTGGAGCTCTACTATGTCTCTCCTCAGCGGAGGGGCTCCATTCCACAAGGTGCGCGCTTGGCCCTCGCCCGTTGGTTTTTGTTGTTTTTGTTGCCTTGACGGTAAAAACCGTTCCGGTCTCCGCTCAGTACCTTCAAATATTCGTACTGGTTCAACCGACGTGGACATTAAATAGGCGCCTTTCTCGGGTGGACGCCTTCTCGATCCTGCCCTGTGTTCACCCACCTTGGTGTCGCGTATCCTAGAATATGGTCTAGTGGCAATCGTTGGCTCCAATTTTGTCTTTGTTGCTCCGATTGTTTTTCGTTTTTGTGCGAATTTTTTTCTGTTTGTTGTACTTCTTCTCCGCGGATCGGATTCTGTCGTACAACTCATTCCCGATACAGCAGTTTCGGCCCACAATCCTTGAAATCCGTGCACGACGAAAACGCTCCAAGATGGTTGACCGTATCCAACGGTTGCAGAGGTTACGATCATACATATATTTACTCCACAGGACTCACGCCGATTCTTTCATTTGTTATTTTCTTCGTGCTGTAGGTAATATCGAGCCTCGACACGGGCGAGGCCTACTTTGTGAGAGTGTCGGCCAGGAATAGCTTAGGCTATGGAGCCACTCAAAGCTCCAGTCCCACGTATCAGCACCCGTACGAGGAACCCACAGCGCCTACAGACGTCGTGCTGGGAGTCACCTCTGACACCATGCTTACGGTGAGATTCCCATATGTCGCGCACCAGATGATGAAACTAGGGCGTGGTCAGTGAATATCCGCCGATGAGCGGCATGGTCTTGCCAGCTTCTGTTCGTGTCATCGAATAACTTTCAACTACTCCATCGTGCTACGTGTATGCTAGGCTGGTTTGAAGCTATGCGATCATGGATCCAGCGTAAGCGGCACTTCCGCCCTCGTATGTGCATCATCAGTGGCGTGTTGTGGTATTATTCCGTTCTATTCGACGTATTTCCCAGTGGTGGTTGCCGCTGAATAGCCTAGCCTCGCGGCAGAATACCCTCGGGCTTTCAAGCAAGCTCCGTGTACTCCACCGGGAAAAATATCATTAAATACGTTGTCCTTTGCCTGTGCTCATGGCCAGCTGCAGATGCGTGGAAGACCAGTTAGATCGAAACCCACACCACTAACTGAACGGTGCTTCTATTCACAATTAACTATATCTACAGGCTAGCTTCTATCCTCCAAGTTCCGATGGCGGTGACGAGGTGACAGCCTTCCTCATCACCTGGGATGTGTCTGAGTCATTCAACAGTCTTGTGGGATCGCCGCACTCTGGTAGTGCGAGGGTGAACTCTTCCGAGCGGGCCTACACGGTCCAGTACCTCAGCACGTCCAGGAGGTAAGCGTCACTGCTGGCGTAAGAGACATTTGTTTTTTATTCTCCCATCATCGGACTCTGTCGTCTGCCCCTCTGGCCCCTATCCTCCACTTCTACCAGCTAGACGACCCAATCGGGGTCACATAGAAGGGGGGGGTTGGACCCCCTCCTGCGGTTCCTGCCTGAGATATATATTATCGCGAGAAGGGTACAGCAATCCCTTCCCTCGCGAATTATGAAGTCGATCAAGTTTACGAACAACGAGCTTTGCAGCGCGTCGCTTCCAACGGAGACCAGGATTTAATTAGCGAGAAAAACTCAACTCTGTCGGGACTCGAACCCATGACCTGGGCCTTGGCAGGCTGCGAGGCGTACCCACTAGACCACGGGGGCGACCGGTGTGTTGTTCCAAACTCTTGGCCGGTTCTTGAATTCAAGCAACAAGAGGCGCGGTTGGTCGCGTTGTCGTGAATTCTAAGATTGAAATTTTCCCAGCCTCTTGATACCTCGTTGTACTGCTGGACGAAGTGGAGGTGAGCTCTTTCAACTTGGATGCCATCCAACGTCCAGACCGCCTCTCGTTGCAGGCCATGCTCAACCCTCCCGTGCCATATATCACTCCCGCCCGCCCCACTACCTTCGTATGTTCCCCATTCTATCCACCACGTGATATTTCAACTTCAACCGGCGACGAACTACAAATCCCTCCCGCCTCTACAATGACAGGTATTACATCAAAGTCGCGGCGGAGAACAGCGCGGGCGCAGGAGTCGCCCGTGCCGCGTCCCCCACCTCCTCCTACCCGTCCCAGCAACCTCCGGGTATTCCCGTGGGACTGGTCGCTAGCAACGGCGACGCCGGCACGGCCACGATTTCGTGGGATTTCCCGCTGGTGCCGACCCACGGTGTCCCTTGCTTCGGCACGGAGGAGACTCCGTCGATTTGCCCCACTCCTGTCGGGGGGGTGTACCCGGGGTCTGACGGGGGCGACGACGTCTACGAGTACAGAATACAGTGGAGCACGAGCCTTGGGTGAGTTGTTGAAGGGCAGACGGTCCGGCGCTGAAATTGAAGACCAAGTCTTGCGTGATAGGGTAGGGACAGGCGACCCGAGTTGAGGACAGGCGACCCGAGTTGAAGACGGATGTTGATATTGCACAACTCCAAGCCCGCATCCTTGAATAGAACGAAGTGAGTCTATGTCACGAGCATCGCATGCCCAAAAAATAACTTCCTACTCCGTCGCCAAGTCCAATTGATCCTCCCCTACGACAAGCCGTAGCCGTCCAATCGACTCTCCGACGACAAGCCGTAGCCACGGCCAGGGACCCGCTCACTCAGATATGCTGCTGAAGATGTCTGTGCCATCCACTCACCCAAAATGCTGATTGCACCTTGTGCGTTGTCTGGTGGTTGTGTCGTGGTTTGACCCAGCTACGTGCCTTCTGATTCTACTTTTGGCTACGCGGACGTGTCCAACACTACCTACACCGCCACCGGCCTGACGACTGGGCTAGAATACTACTTTAGAGTGTCAGCGCGCAATACAATCGGGTACTCCGGTTTCTGTGAGCTTTCGGGCAATACGTGTGCCGGGGACGAAGTGTCGACCATCATCACATGATGAGTAGCGCTTGCCGCCGCTTTTGTTGGATGCCTTTTTGTAAGGGTCAGTGTGTGCTTACTCTTTTACTGGTTTTACCACAAATTGCCCTTTGTTTCTCCAATTTCCAAGGTATTTTGAAAGTGTCGCGCTACGACGTTATTCAGAGTAGTGAGTAATCTTGAGTCTCGCTCGAGTAGAATAGTGAAGATGCTGTAGCATCGTCAAAACAGATTAGCCAGTCTCAGGACACACGGCGATTGGTGGGGAGTTCGGGGGTGTTTGTGGTTGTGGCGTGGTTTCTGATACGAATCATTCGTCCGAGAGTTAGCCAGTCTTCGTCTGGAGCGTGTGAAAGTTAATCGTGGGAACGGTAACGGCTACCACGTATCATACGTACAGATGAAGCAATGGTGAAAGGGGGACTCACATGCTGTGTTATACTCACTAGCTACATTTTTGACTCGGATTTGGAAGGACTCAAGCGGTGAGGGATACTCTAGTCTGCATGCAGACGTGACATGCTACCAAAGTATATAGTGTTCGACGTGGTTGCCATGAAAGCACTGCCGCCCTGATGCAACAGGGGGCGGTATCGTTCAGGCGCGAAGTCGACATCCATTACACGGGGCATGTTAGCCAACTGATGCGCTGGTTCTTGGCTACCCGGCGCAATATTTCGAAAGGCGTGGGGGGTCGTAGGAAGGAGGGGGGACAACGGAGAGCACGCGGAAAATTCTCACGTAGAAACTTATTTTTGTTTTTTGTTGATGTCTGCTTTACGTGATGTGCGGGTTGCCGACTCTTCGAGGGGGTTGGTACTAATGTACATGCGTGTGTGGAAGGCTTGGCAGTCAGTATTGGCTTGTTCTTTCAAGTGTCGTTGTGTAGCAAGCCGCAGCAGAATGTGTTGAATCTCACGGCCCCAATCAATTTGACTAGACTATGTTCCACATAAATGGGGTGGATGGGCCGCCACACGCCAACAACCGTGGCCCATATCAACAAACCGGCTGGTTGTTGCGCCCAGACAAGAGCTCAGATGAGAGCATGACGCTACATCTGCACCCCGTGGCGGGGAACTTCTATTGAGGCAACCTGCTGCACTGCGATTGCGAAGTGTCGATGTCACACTACTTGGAAACGTTCATAAGTCAACACTCACAAGCACGGTTTTCCACATGTGGAAAGCTGTATGGGCCCCATTCCCTCTCGAAGCATATCACCGAGTTGCGCATGATATGCTCATGCGACGATCACATACGATATTTTCACGCACTACCGCAGACAAGCCAGGTTCGAATTCGCACCACTGTTGGTAAGTGTCGGGAAAACGTTGGTATCTTGTTTCGACTTCCCAAACCCAGCATTTGTCTCTTCTCGCCTCCCGCAAGCGTCCGAGAACGTTGTTGTTGTTTTTGTTGTTGTTGGCTTCACATTAAACACCGTTCCGATCTCTCTCTACCCAGTACCATCCTATGTACGTACTGATCCAACACTCGACGCGGTCGATTCCCGTGGTCACAGGTTAACTTACTAACCCTAACAACGAAGATACACTCAAATAAACTGGCCCCGAGGGGTCCGCAAGTCAATAGAAATCAACGACCGATATTCTGGAGTCCTCCACGCCCTCCCTCTGCGCGCTATGCGAGGTAATAACTGAGACTAGGAGTCACCATCACGGGCCGGAGAGAAAGAATAAACCCCCTTGCTTCGATCTTGGTACTTCACAACGCAAGCAGAGACAAGGCCATCTGGCACAGAAANCGATATTCTGGAGTCCTCCACGCCCTCCCTCTGCGCGCTATGCGAGGTAATAACTGAGACTAGGAGTCACCATCACGGGCCGGAGAGAAAGAATAAACCCCCTTGCTTCGATCTTGGTACTTCACAACGCAAGCAGAGACAAGGCCATCTGGCACAGAAAAGAGAGAAAGAAGAAAGAAGAGAAAACATGGATACAGTTGAATCTCGAGACCATGCCTCCAAGCGAACGGTTCAGCACTTCCTGCTGGGATCGAGTCACAGATGTTCCCCCCAGCGCTGAGACAGATCGCTTCTCAGCGGAGTTTTCATTGTACCGTCGAGAATCCTCACATGACCAAGTGCTTGCACGCAGCGATCCATATTGCGAACGAGATTATTTGACTACGAGATGTAAGACTAGACTACTGTTCTTCTCTCGTTCTAATCGCGAAGTGTTGGAAGTGTTTGGTTTGGTGAGACCTCCTACGGCTGCTGGTAGTCCCGACCCAACTCCATGTTGTTGTCGTGTTTGTCACGATCGGCCAAGGGCCGCATGGCGTGAAGACTCCCCTATAAATCGCATCTAACATGATGTACGGAGTTGAGCCCGTGAAAGCCGGCAAGGGCGGCGCGTTGGCACACGTGGCTACTTGGCCCCGCTACCCTTGAAATAGTAGCAGGTAATAGTATTGGTAATCCTCTGCGTCTTCTGAACGATAAAAAAGTGCCTAACCTCGATCTCCCACCGCCACGAGCTCCCTGCTCGAAAGGAGTGCAACGGGGAGTTAGTGTTGTGGCGTGCACGATAGCTCTGCCATCCTCTTGTTTGACAGAAGGGCGACCGTCACGTCCGGGGGTTACAGGCCTGCCCTGCCCCTCGGCCACTTAAGCCTGGACAAACTGAGAACATGTGCATCTTCGCCATAACGTCGAATTTCAGAAATAGTCTATGTCGTGCCGTGAAGATGTATTCGGCGACCTTTGCAACGTCCACATTTACTTTAGCGGCATTCAGGGGCATTCCCCGTAACGACGACGACCGCTTCCATTAAATCAGTCTTTTGGTGTCGATTGTACGGTGCCATAGTCTACGACATATGTAGGTTGTCATCTGCACATGCGTAACGATACTCTCGGGTCTACCATTCCGGCTCCCTTTGTACCGGGGACACTTGGTTGGGTGGAAAACATCTCGGGCGCCACGGACGTACCTGGTACGTGGGGTCTCCCACACTCTCTACAGTCTTCTCAACGACCTATGGGATGACCCATGGGTCACCCATCGGCCGCCCATGGGTGATTTGGGAAAACTGTCAGTAGTTCTTTTTTTTTTTTCCCATCATTGGACTCTGTCGTCTGCCCCTCTGGTACCTATCCTCCACTTCTACTAGCTAGACGACCCAACCGGGGTCACGTAGGAGGGGGGGGCTGGACCCCCTCCTGCGGTTCCTGCCTGAGGTATTTTTATCGCGACAAGGGTACAGCAATCCCTTCCCTTGCGACTTACGAAGTCGATTATGGTTTACTAACAACGAGCTTTGCAGCGCGTCGCTTTCATCCTAGACTAGGATTTATTCAGTGAGAAAAATCTCACTCTGCCGGGACTCGAACCCATGACCTGGCCCTTAGCAGGATGCGAGGTTACCCACTATAATAGACCAGTAGTGTGGGAGCTTGGGTACGTGTACCTGGGACAGCCGCGTGTCAAAGCTCAGAGGTTTCATATTGGTTCATAGGGTTGGAGCTGGATAAGGTGCCCTCGGCCTATGGAGCTCACTGGACTTATGACAACACAACGGTTCGGCTCTCGGCTCGCAGGGCTCTGCATTTGGTTGGTTCGGTTTCACCTATATCCATGCGGTGCAATTGGTGCCGCTTGGTGTTTCGCTTGAGGTGGGCAGTGGGCAGATTCTGTCACAGGAAACTGCTCAAACATGCACACCAGCGGGTTGACCTCTACTTCAGCTGAGAAAGTGAGTACGACATGTGTGTGCCTGTTAGCTCGTGTAACGACAGAGTGCGGAGAAGCATCAGTATCGATTTACGAGCGGGTAGAGGTTCTACTGTTAGACTAGTCGTCTGTCTGAAGAAGAACGGCAGAGTATAGACTAGACATCAGTAGGCAGATGGTATCAAAAATACGACCTGGACTAGTCTAGACTAATGACGTAAACGTCGACGCCCGCACAGCGGCATGTAGGACCACTGAAGCTCGCTAAGTCGACAACACAAGACCAATGCTCCTGCCACAACAACACAAAGCCTCGTGTGTGCGGTGCTGCCACCTACAGAAGCAGGTGGCCAGCAGGAGGAGGAGTGTCGGGCATTTTCAAATAATCCGTTGCAGAGGGGGTTGGTTGTCCTTCGCGAACAATCGAATTAAAAAATATATATCACGGCTATTTGGGACAACACGTCTAACTCGGCGTAGAAAGCTCGGATCGACCTCAAACCAAGTTTGTTGTAATCCTACTGGACACAGCTTTCACGGAATGTATTTTGAGTCCACAACGGAGCCGGGGCCGAGGAGATAGAGCCTA